AGGTGCGAAAAATGAATGTTTATTGACGACACACTGAATCGATGGGAAGCAGTTAGAAAAAGCAATATTGGCTAGTGCTTTTTAAAATATTTGCTTGAGAGAGATAGTGGGGTATTCTGCTTGCTGGCCAATTAATTATTTTGTAGAAATTTGAATTGACAATTTTCTTCATAAATTTTGTTGGCTAATTACGATTATGAATAGAAGGTAGAATTTATAATATATCCAAATTAATTGACAAATAAAACGTTGTACGTGGAAGTAGTGCACAATTGTTAAAGTGAATTAGTGCATGAGGCGTAAACCCCGCACTCATATGGCTACTGCAACAATCTATAAAACCAAACTTCAGTCAATACGCTGCACGAATTATCCCTCTGTTTAAAAATAACTTATTGAAATAGCTTAGTTATTTTTCAGAATAGCAAAACAATTTTAGATACTAAATTTGTCATAAGCCGCAAAGATATGCATCGCCAAGGCATAATAAGTAAGTATACCAGTGAAAGACATTCATGACTGAGTATAAGTTTGTTGGATCGTTCGCAATATGTGCTAACCTGTGAGCGCAGAGTATTCTCACGTGTCCCGCTATACATGTTTCGAGTTCAAAATGTACAACGAAATTCCACAGTTGTATTTACAAGCTTGTTGCAAGAGTCATGCAGTGGCTGTTGGGATTCCGTAGAAATATGCTTGGCCTCTTCTTGCGATCCCAAAATTTGTCCGATTTTTTCAAGCTTGTGTGAATGGAAATCTGTAAAAATGAAATGTCTGAGTGAAGAATTCCTCAATTTTTGTAAAACTTATTTTCGATTTAAGAAGCTCTTAATCTTTGAAAGGAAGAATAATAAATGGGTTTATTGGTAATAGAAGAAATTATGAGGAGTGGATGAAACAGAGTTAAGGTGCAGAAGGTGCAAGCACAAGTAAAAATGATAGTAATAACTTCCAACAAATAAGTTGACCTGTTTCCTCTTTAAGTTTGTTTTGTTGTGCTGAAAACAAACAAATCATAAACAGTGCAGTGGCTGAGCAATAGCTTCTGATTATGAACAGAGTTTGTAAATTTTTCTCAAAGTCATGGTAAAATCTGTAAGTTTGAAAGGAATTTACATCTATATTATTTCCACCATCTTACTACTCAATTTTTTCATCAGTTTTTGAGCGTGAAATTAGTCGAAATCCATTGCAAAAATAATGCTTCTACACGTAAATTGTTGGAAATAGTGGTCGAAGTTATACTTCATGTCACATATGAAATAACCGTGAATCTGTAGGTTGCGTCTTTTAATTGATGCATAGAGGATGAAACATGAAGCAACCGTTATATTATACGGCTCAAAAGGACGGCCAAAGTGATGGAAAAGATTTGCCGTAAATGTATATATAATTCAAATTATCACTACAGATTCAGCGTCAAAAAATGAAAAATGGCAAATCTGAAGAGCAGAATGATTATTCATATTTTCAGTGCGTTAAGATTTATGAAGCGATAGAAGAAGCATGACTGCATTCATTCGTTATTGCTTATTGTCACACAAAAATGGTTTGATGAATCAGTATGCTAGGATAAAGTAATCAGTGGCAAATACCTTGAGTGTCCTGTATTTTGCAAAAAGCATAATAAAATACCAGAGAAATAATAGTGTTTATGATTAAGCATTTACCTCAGTTCCTAATAACTTTTTAGTTCTAAAATCTTGCACATTATGCACACGAAACTTGTTGTTGACATCAAAAGAGAAGAAAAACGAAAGGTAATGACCAAATTTAGTCAGTGGAAAGACAAATTACCATGATTTTACTCTTAGTAATTTCCTACAAATAGCTGAACTATCTGAACTGTGAACTTTATATAGTTGAACAAATTTTCATTCATTCAATTCCCAGAAATATCTTTTAGGTAATGCTAGCAAAAAATAATAAAACTCAATTAATGGGTCCTTTTACCTACAACTAAAGTTCATATTTCTAATAATTGTGTAGACAAATTTTTTTCGAAAAGACTTTATAAGTGGTATCATTACAGGTATATCAAGCGACTGCTTGATATACCTGTAATGATGCCACTTATAAACCGATTGTAGCTCGCTTACCTCGAAAAACAGAACATGCTTAGTTATGAAGAAATGAAGAAAATGTAAAGTTACTTCCATGAATTAGTCGTCATACATCAACTTTTCGACTTTCCAAGTTGATGTATGACGACTAATTCATGGAAGTAACTGAAAATATGAATTCAAAAATAAAAATAACGCGCCCACTAAGTGACCGGTGCATTTCTGACTTCCAGAACCAAAATGTGACGAAGTAGTAGTTACGGGAAAGAAGTCGTATCTTCCAGACAAATTCTTTTTTGACCGTAGAATGCGCAAAATTAATTCACTTCACTGTTAGAATGAGAAAAATGTTTCATTCATTCACTGTAGCAAAGCAAACCACACTGCGATCTATTGTCTCCCTCATCCACAAGCAAATTAATCACCGTTCTCGGAAACTGTTGCGAATTTCACGGATATTATATCAATTTAAGCAGCTTTCGATCACTTGAAATTATTCTAAATTTCTCTTACCCTGCATAACTAAGATGAGATCAAGAATAAAGAATTAGTTAATGCTGATTGAATTTACATTCAGTACTATGAGGTTTGAAAAAGAAGAATGCTAGCTGGATAACAAAAATTTTCGTTGATACCAAACAAGTCCTTTTATATTCCCTATATGACACAGCAGAAATGACTGGTAATGATTGGCTAACTGATTACAGGTCACGACTTAGAGGTCATCGATTTTGGTTTTTGAAAGGAATAATTTTGAGCAAAGAATTAATACAAACATTTTTTGGTAGGAACGTGCATATTAATACTATACGAATTTTATTAATTTAATTTCAGTGCCAAAATTAATGACCAAAAAATCGAAGTGATTATTTTTGAATGAAAATATCAAAAAATATTAAAAAAATTTTTATTTTTCAATGCACTTATTTATATTGCACACTTAACATTTATTTTCGAACGTCTTGAAGATTGATTATCAGGAATAAGAAGTTGCATTAGAAACTATACCTCGAAAATCCCAAGTTTCATTACACTTTGTCTTGGATTTTGCTATCTTTCTTATGCAACTTTTTATTTGAAGCATTCCATTACACGTCTGTGCCTTTGAAACTGTTTCGTTGCAATACTTTATGCTAATAATAGCTTGTACCTTTCATATTTTCTGGAAGCTCACTGTTTTCATATCAGTACTATATTTATTTGATCTAGAAATCATAATTTGACAACACATGCAGTGAGTTCTTCTTGATCTTTTGACCCTCACATGCAGTCATTTCCCTGCATTATGGTTTATTTCAAACAACATAGTCCAGTCTACTTAATGAATTACTTGGCTAGGAATTTACTTCCACACAAAAGGGGAGCTATCACTCATTGGAGTTCTTGAATAAAATAATTTACCATAACAGCAAACTGGAAATGTATGACTTAAAATTTATAAAGATCATCGAATTTCAATTCAGTCCTCTTATGATTGAACGATGAAATTTGAACTTGTGAAATGAATAATGATCGTTAGATTGAACTTAAAAAACACATCTCCCTTTCAAACAAAAATGAAACTTCACATCATTATGTTTTCCAGGCAGCACAATATCACCCGCAAGCTTTATATTTTAAATGTATTGATCTTATTATTGCTTTTGCTACTTATTTTGCTTTATAGATTAAACTTGCAACGAAATTTGAGACAATAAATAACGTCCACCAAACTGCTCGTACTTTTGCTTTCTAGAATTCGCAATGTTTACACCAATTCACTACAACGAGTTTTTGCACATCGATTTCTCTCTGCATGCCACACAATATTCAACCATCCATTAATATTATAGAATTAATCTTTTCTACAATGCAAAAAAACTTTTCTTCGGTTCATTTACATTAATATAAGTAATAAATACTACCTGTGTTTTATTTTTCACTCGGTCTTACATATATTTCAAGTAAAAATAAACAACTTGTGTATTTTAAAGATTCTACACTGTGTGGGTAAGGACCAATTTGAAACATCAGGGAAGGATAAATGAGCAGACCCGAGAAATGCGTGATTGCGATGTGAGAACTACAAATCCATTATCATGACTACACTTACTCCCGATAACAAAATTCAGTTGATGTAAAACGATAGTAACTCAGGGAGTAAAAAAGCCTTATAACTGTATATCGGCCAAACCTCGCCTACCCTCTTATTTTCCGTACCCTAAATCTATCTCATTTTTAAATGTACTACATAAAAATGCATTTTCATAGGGTATCGCACAGAAATATTATAACGGACCGCGATACAGTCATGCATTTGGCTCAAAGAACAAACAGTTAGGAGTACTCATGATAACTGATCTAGTGTGTTAGATTGGTGTGAATTTTCTGTGAAATTATAGATATATTGGGAGAGTTAATTTTAGTGTTTATTAAAGTACTGCTTCAAGATCGGAAATCGTTGTAGACAGATAATAGAAAAGGAGTTACTTACTTTTGATTTTGCACGTTGCAGTGCAAAATCATTTTAGCATTTCAGCCGATTCTGCCTTTATATTTATATGGTCAGTTTTCGGTGAGATTTGCTATAATCATTTTTCGGCAAGAAACTAAATGCATTCATATAGCGGTCATGCAGTACGATGAAGTAAATTTTTCTTTCAGGAAATGACTTCGCTTTATAGCATTAAGGGCATTGCAATTTTGGATCAAGATGGTAACAGAATTCTTGGCAAGGTATCATCAACTGTCTATAATTCATCGCTTTGCTTCTAGTTATTGCTTTATTGAGAAAATTAATCTCTTTCTCTTTTTTAATTAATCATTTTCTCTCATGTTCTCATATGAATTTGAAATAGCTTACGACTGGAAATAAAATTTTAATGTTTCGTCTTTTGTCAGTAATTGTCTTAGTCATGAATTTTTTCAGTATTATGATGAAAACATATTTCCTGGCGCAAAAGAGCAGAAAGCATTCGAAAAGAGTTTGTTCCACAAAACGAATAAGGCTAATGGTATAGTTGTCATTTCTGTTGTTAAGCAGCTTGTAAATCACGAATTTGAACTTAACTGAAAGTTGTTGGTTAATTTAATCGTGTTTCTTATTTTTGCAGCCGAAATAATCTTATTAGATGGTTTAATTTGTGTATATCGCAGCAATGTGGATCTGTTTTTCTATATAATGGGTGGTGCGGATGAAAACGAACTGATCTTGATTACGGCTTTGAACTGCCTTTATGATTCGATTTCTTTGGTATTGCGAAAAAATGTTGAAAAGAAGGCACTAGTGGATGATATGGATATTGCTATGCTAATCATTGATGAAATTTGTGATAATGGGTTTGTAGTTAGTGATTTTTCATTTAATGCAGTGTTAGGGTACACAAGGTATGTAGAAGGTGGCATGAGGATCTCTAATTGAAAAAACGAATGTTAGAAGGGTATAGATGAAACCTTTCTAACAATAGTGACTAAAATCGCGTGATTCGATAATAAGTATAGTAATATGGAAAATGTGATCAATCTTGTACTGACTGTACAGCCATGAAAATCATCTATATTTTTTCTGAGAGCACTGTTTAATAGTTATAATTATTTTGAAGTTCATTTGAAAAATGCATTTTTAGTAGTAATATTTTATCCAGTAAAAGTCTGCAAAGAATCTAAAGATATTAGGTAGTTTTTTTATTTTTAGAGTATTGATGGAGACAGAGCCGCAAGCTGTAGTAAGCCGCTGTGCATTACGTCCTGATGAAATTACTTTTGGTGATCAAAGTATTTCGCAAGTGGGCATGTCGGTATGTATGTTTTAGAAATATCTAATAAGGATTTATTTTATTATATCGCAGTTGCATAACCTGTTAGTGAAAACTAATCTCTATTTATATCGTTGTGGAATTTATTTGGGTGTAGAAGTGTCAGCTTGATTTGCTATGAGCTTGAAAAAGATGGTTAGTGCACGAATTTTATAATTCAGGTGGTAGAAAATGCAAATATTATTGATTGAAACGTATAAATGCGTTAAGAAACTGAACATGTAAATAGCTGTAACATAAAAATTCAAACGTAACAAACTGCAGTAGATGAGTTAAGCAGGGACTACTAAAAATCGTTGTCCTTTTTTTCACATTTGTTTTTCACTCTCGAAATATAACTTTTTTTCAGTCTAACGGAATTGATATTTGTGAGTTAAGTTAGCTTATTTTTGGAAAATAATCAATGATTTTCATATTTTTATTAGTTTACATATTGCAATGCTTAATTTATGTAACTGCCTTGTCTTTTCCTAGAGATAAGCAACATTTCTTGAAGAAGAGCTTAGTGCGTGTTTTCATATTTTTTAATTTTTGAAGTATATTGACAACATTTTTATCTTCAAAATTTGTGGTAATTTAATAGTAATGATAAAGTGGATTTTTCTTACCGTTCAGGAATGCATAGTAAGATCCAAAAAATCACAGGGTTGTATTCGAGGGTATCGGTGAAGCCTCTGTTTCCAAGTCTTCATATTTTAATCACTTTTTTGTTCAATACAGAGATATGTTTCAGTTGATTGGGTCCGCAAAAGAACAGTTGAAATGGTCTCTACTGAAATAACACTGGTAAAATGGACTTTTGGAGGTTCACGTAGTTTTTGATGGAAGGGGAGCTATATTCTCATGTATTATTGATGTAGTTGATGAGCTATCACTGTTTTTAAATCTCCTCTGTGTTCATTTTAATGAATTTTTCGTTTTTAGTCATGCCTTCATTTCTGAGCACCTGAACACTAACTTTTGTTTCATGCTAAGTAACTTCCTTCAAATCTGAAGTTGATGGTCCATTTTATTTGAAACTAATTTCATGTAGTTTAGAGAGATTGTTTTTGTCATACTTGTACTTCCTGTTTCACATTATTATTTGAATGTTTCAGACACACTAGTGTCCTTATTATGGATAGCAGGGAAACCTGTCGTTATAGAACAATTGATTTTTTTACACAGGGAAAGACTTTCATCAGAATTGGTACCAATTTTGTTTTGTTTAACTGTATATTTCTGTAATGATAATTTATTCAACGTAAAATTGGTCGTAATAAACTTTGGTACATGTTTGTGATGGGGTGGTCAGTAAATGTTGATATCTCATCCCATGCGGCTCAATCTCATGCTAACATTTGGTATTATTTGTTCATCTTGTATTTTTTTAAAACAGCATAAATTGTTCCATCGTGAAACATATTATAATGTTGTTCCGCAGTTTAGTGCATGAACTTTCTGATTACAAATTTACTTTTTGACATGTTTTCAGTGACAGTGTAGTTTCGGCATTTTTTTGTGCATTAATGTTATTTTAATGTAGTTGTTGTAACAAATATAATTCTCATCTATCAAGACTGAAGCATTGAGAGAAGGCGTGTGATAAGTGTAGATAGATAGATTAAGTATTATGATGAGATTTCTGTTCAGCGTAGTATTCAGCTTTCTTTGCGTTCATTTATTCAAGTTGAAGCAGGAGGCCAAATAATAGGTGAAGACATCTTGAAATGTAGTGATTCGGGATGGTGGAGTTTACTTCACCTTGGTTCTATTGGGTGCAGTGGAATCAGGATTGGTTATAGATATGATGCGTGGCAGTTAGAGTTTTTCTGTTTTGTGCTGGTCTGTGCAAATATTGAGAGTACATTCAGTTTAATATATATATATATATATATCAGATAGTAGATGAAACATGATTTGCGGATCTATTAGATTTTGAAACCGTCTTCTGCTGAAGAGTTCTATTATGTTTTGTGCTCAGCACAGAAGAAATTCGTTTCAATTCCTACTATTCAGTTGTCTGAGATTTTATCTTTTCGGTGATGTTTGGCAGACATTTCAAACTTCACTTTTCTGTTATCCCTTGGTATGGATATTTTTCATTAGTACTTTTTTCTAGATTATTTTGACGTAAGTCGGGTACTTTACTGCTCCAGCTGAAGACTGTGTATTTGAGAATTACCCAGAAGTTCCATCAGTTATTTGGTTCAAAAGAAAAGTTACTGAAAAATTGTGCCACCGTGTGTTGTAAACTATAGCTACCATTACCTGCCTGCCGTTTTTGTTCGTCTGTTGGTAAGACGACTTGTCGTTATAGCTAGCAAGGTTTCTTGCTGCGAGCGTTGGTCGAAAATCCTTGAATTTCTCTTATCTTTATATATCTCGGCTCCCGATCATCCTTCCCTTGTTTCGTATTTTTCTTTGTTTTTATTTTTTTATTAATACCCTTGTATTCTGTCGGACTTTTTATGTTGAGAGGAATTTCAGTATCGTGGTTATTTTGTTCTGTATGTAAGTAATAAAAGTTCAGTTCCTTATTTTCTTGAAAAAGTAGTGAGGTTAGTAGACTCGGTGAAAAGGCAAGTTTTGGAGTCGTTATAAATTTGTTATATGTTGAGACGATTGCATGGTATGAATGAAGTTTTCCTTCAGAAGATAAACAAGGGCAGGAGAAAAGAGAGCGCGGTAAAAGAAACTTACAAGGGAAATTAATGCGTAATCGGATTTAGAAGAAAACGAAAACGGGAAATTGGAAATGGAAAGAGCGGAGATAGACGATGTGACGAACGAAGTTTTGTTATGCTTTGAAGATGAGAAGAATTTGTCATTCAATCCAGTAATTAGCAATTACTTCAATCAAGGAAATGTGGCTCGTAGAAAAAATCGCATGAATAGGAAGTAATATACATATATATATCTATTTATGTACGCATATATTTATTTAATTTAGGATTAATATATTAAGGGAAGTAATATTTAATTTTTTCAAGTTTAACAGTTCGTGATAGTGCATATAGATTTTCTTTTCTTTGAATCCCTACTTCTTTAACTGTATTTTTTCCAAACTGGGAGTTATTGATCGCAATAGAAACTTTCCTAATACCATTTACAGACGATTTAAGTTTGGAAAGTGCGTAGAATGCTTTTCTGTGAATTTTCCAAATCTCTCCATGTAAATGCTCATGTTCTTGATATTAGCTCTCTTCTGTTGATAGATTCAAGATTGGGAAATTTATATCGTATTTTATTGGCTTTAATTTCTTGTTTATAATTATGTGTTCGATAACCAATTTAATCTATTTGAAATCGGACAACTTGTTAGTTGTCGCACTTCATCTAGAGTTGTAAGCATGAATTGTTGATTCATTCTGTATGTGTGGGACATGTAAAAAATCATGAGGTTCTTGTTAGATTCTCTTCTCACTTTTTGCACCAAAACAAGGAAGTTATCAAGAAACTGCGAAAGCAAAATAGATTTATTTTGTTATTATTTCCACGTTCCTTGTCTCATTTTTTTTCTTATTGTTCGTCGTTCCCATTGTCATTATTGTAATGTTGAATTTTTATTCTTCAAAATCCTTTATATGGTTTTGAGGAAATTCTCTGTGTAATTATTCGTGTAAAGTTGCTACCTCAACTCAAAGCTTTTTTGCATTACGGAGTTTTCTTGTGCATTATTCTTCCTTAACTTAGCTAAAGTGAAATGCACATAGGATTTCATAATTTTTTGCTCTTGACAAATTTTTGTTTTTCATAAAATCTTTTGAAAATATCAGCAGCGATTAACTTTTACGATAAAGCTCAGTATTTACAGGAAAAAAAAGACTAGTAAATGTAATGGTAGTGGTGAAATTAGTGATGATGATGACGATGATGATGATGAGAATGATGAGGATAGTGATAAGGATAGTGACGATTGTCGTGATTTTGCGAAGTTTGATTTGGTCCCACTATCAAATTGGTTTGAAGTGAGAATGAGTTTTGAACCAATTATATAAATATATACAAATCGTGATTACAGTGAAGTATGTCTAGTATATATTGAAGTTCCGTCTATAAACAAAACTACATGTAACTCATTCTGTGTGGAACGTATAATTTTTTCTTGTAGATATATCTTTGCAGGAGTGTGATAGTTATCTTCCTCTTGATATTATTCAGCAATGTGCCAGCAATGAAAACTTGTTTCTGCGATGGTCAACGTTTCTGGCTGCTGGTTTTAATCTTATTGTAAGTTTAAATTACGGTATTTATCATTAATTGGCTGCAAAAGTTCGCGTTATTCATTTTATTCATGGAATAGCAGTTGAAATTACAATTTCCTTCAATCAAGCTATATTTTCATTAAGTGAAATGAGGCAAAAATTACTTGCTAATGTAGCTTCAGTATGTAATAAAAAATACATACCACTATATGTGAGTTACTTCCGTAAATCTTAATTTTCTGCTTATTGACAGGCAGTAATAAATGATTAGGAAAAAGTAAAAGAACTAAAGATAACCAGTAGTTCGGAAGCCGGAGTATAATTAATTTTTTTATCATTTATGTCCGTTGAAATGATTGAGATTAGTTAGTATTGTGTTTTGTATTTCAGTGGTTGGTTGGTGTGTGAGGATGGAATGGAATGATTTTGCTATATTGGCTTTTTTTTTTAATGAATACATTAAGTTCCTGGTTTCCGTTGAGAGTTATTCTTATAAACATAAATTCAATTTCATAAAAAGTTTAGTTTTTTTTTTTATTTGATTGTTCTTCTGAAATTAGCTTATCAGCAGCTTTCTTATTTTTTAAGCTTGCTTGTTACTGAAGTTCTTACTTTTAATTACAGCTATTTGGAATCGGTTCTAAACGAGATCTTTTACAAAGCTTTTGTGAAAAAGAACTCTGCAATCACACTTATCTCATTGTTGATGGTTTCCAGCGAAGAATCAACTCACATGTCATATTTAAGGTTAGAAAACATTTGAAAATCGGAATCATTGGCAAGCACTCATGAGTTATCACACTACTGCTTTAAATCTGAAAAGAATATTTTATAAATTTTCGTAAAAAGTGAAAAGAAGTAAAAGTTACCGTGACAATGATTTCTATGAAAAATACTGTAGTATTTGGAGAAAAACCTTTCGTTGGAAGTAGTTCAGCATAATAATCATCTGGAATACGCTGATGCAATTGGAAGTGCAATTGATAGTAAACGAGAAGATGTTGTTTTAGTCTTGCATAATATTGATGGGCCTGGATTAAGGTTCGTTGACGTTGTATTATTAAAATGAAGTGTTATGGCATTTTCAAATTTCAATGAGTATAATTGTGCTTTGGCTCAGTCTTTGATGTTATACAGATAAATTGTCATCACTAGTACTCCTAACCTCAGAATTTCATGAAGGAAATCTATCTTTTAGAATATATAGTATCCTCAGTGTTCAATTTGCAAATTTCAAAAAAAATATATCAAATTTGTTAGTACTTACAGAACATCTTTCGAACAGTGCGCTTTATCCAAATTTGGAAGGGCAAAATATGGACATATCATTGCAACAGTTGATCACGTCAACAAGAGTTTGTTGTGGTCGCAGGTATATTTTTCCAACATTTTTAAAAATTCGCTTCCTAATCGGTTTTTTTTCTGTTTTTACACCATCAATGCTGTTTGTTGCAGTGTCCATTAATTTTATCATTCATTGCTTTAAGTTATCATAATTATTTTACGATTCTTCATTCTAAGAATATTGAATTCACTAGACTGAAGAAGACGTTTCGTTGCTGTGTTTCAGAAATTATTGAATGCCTTCAATTTTTTGTTCATCAATGTAAATACGATGAAAACTTACAAGGCTGAAGTATATGCCAGTTGCTCAAAACTACTAAGGCTATATCCTAAAGATTCGCGGCATACACATACATCTGCGTCGCTAGATGTAGTGTGGGTGTCGTTAACTACCAATTCTCGCTCATTGCTTCATCTCATTGCTAGAAATTATTACTCTAAAAAGAAACCATTAGAGTTTTTTGAACTTCTCTGTTCAGCTAGGTCATTTTTCAAAATCTTCTGTTCTACTATGTCACTTTTCAGAAGTTAGTTTCTTAATATTTAATCAAGTGTCCAGGAAGTTATAAGTATTTTTGTGCAAATTATTTGTATATTTGGGTAGTTGAAAAGTGTTTATCAATAACTATCTTCAGAAATTACTTCTTAGTCTCCACAGATGCAGCACTGCGTCAGCATCTTAACGAATATAGTGATCATCATCTAATTTTATGTAAGCGGCACAGTGATGGTAATGAGTATATCTCGATGGCCGTAGATGAAGAAGTATGTCATTTTGATTATCTTGAAACTAATAGTAATTTGATGCATTGTCAGTCTCGTCATTGAAATTACAAAATTTACAAAATTCTTTTTGTTAGCGACAAACTCTTGCATAAAATTTTCTTTATCTGGTAGTTGTTTCATACTAATATTGAGATGAATAGATAAAAAATTCGGTTCGGGAGACTGAGATATTTTTGGGGTTATTTTTAAAAAAATTAACAGACCAATTCAATTTCTCTTTGAAATTTCAGAGCTTTTTAAATAAAAAAATTTAGTGTCGAGAGAGCTTTTATTTGATGCAGTTTTCAAGCATATCTCCTTTTGCACACAATTTGGTCACATTTTTTGTTCAAACATTTTTCTTTCTTTAATTTCTAGATAATGGCAGCATTCATAAAGAGTAAAGGATTGCCAACAGATGACGATGGTGATGACTGCACTATTAGCTAGCTACCTAATAATGACTCTCAGATAGTTTATGTATTTTCTGTTTTCCTATACACCTTGTAATGACTGAAGTAGAAAATACTGCTTGTTAACCAATACCTCTGATGCCTTTTAATGTTTAGATTTTGTTCGATCTTGAGATAGTTTGACATGGCGTTTAGTATTTCTTTCTGCACTTTTATTTTCTTGGAATACTGTGTACTTTTTTGATTTACGTTATTTTCAATATTTTATACTGACAAACATGCTTTTGCTGAGTTGCTTTTAAAAGTGTTCAGCAATTCAATATTTATTCATTTTTAAATTAGTGAGATTAAACTTTCAGAATAAGAAGCTGTAGAATTGTGATAATTGTGGAAGCAAGAAAGCAATTTGTACTGCTATAGTCAAATCATTTTTAAAACTTATGAGAAAAAATCTGAAAAAGTAAATAAATGTGGTCACCGATTAGCTATAATCATCTTTCTTATAGTTTTCTGAATTATTTGTTGGTGAAAAATTGTATCTGAATGTAAAAATATGTATTTTAATTTTTTTTATTGTTGTTGTTGAAACTTTGTCTTTGCTGAAGTTGTTGCACCTGAATTCTCTATGAATTTCATCTTTTTAAATTCATGTTAACAATTTGAAATTTTGAATGATACATGCTTAAGTTGCATGATTTATCTTCCGAAGATCTAAAACCCACTGTAAATTGAAAGAAAAAATTGCTTTATCTTAAGTAAAGCTATATGGGTAGATCTAAAATGAAAGTCCAATTCCTTACATTATACTTCTTTCTGGTGTTTTGGATGAGTATATTCCTATATCGCAATCATATTATTTACACCTAACAGAGTTTATTTATCTAAAACTTGCTGATTTTCTCGGTGATGCATACTTAGTCTGAGATTGTACTCAAACTCATTTTATAATGAAAAATATATAGCATCTCTTAGTAAATTAACTGAAGCAAAGAAACTGTCAATAGAGTCAAAAACATTTGAATGAACGAAGAATGTACATGAATTGTGGATGTTTATGTGTTCGCTTGCATTTTGGTAATGTGTGGTTGTAGAAATGTTTCCCTTAGGTAGTTATATTGTAGGAGTCATAAAAGATACGCTAAATTACCTTACTGAGTTTTAAAAAGTTTTCGTCTTATGGTATGTTTGAAATTAGCTCATGCAGTGCTTATCAATTGCGATTATGATGTAATTTACATAAACTAAGCTAAAAAACAGTAACTCCAAAGTGTAACTAAGTGGCCATTTCAGCTGTGTCTGTATTTAGACCGGTTAGTTTTGTTTGGAAGTTAAATTTCTGAACTCATTGAGCATCATTATTCTGCCAAAAGGGTCGGGTTTTTTTGTTGGGTGGTAATGTAACATCAAATTATGATGAATTTCGTAGCATATAATGGGGCGATGTCAATATGCGATAGACAGTCTTCCTGCATTTACTCCTCAGTTGATTGCTTTTTTGTTAGCTGTACTGGAATTTGTCGTCGTTCTCTTCGCCTACATTTCTCGAGAAACATACCGAAAAAAGGTTCTTATTCAAAATTCGAATAATTGTATAGTAAAACCATAAAGTTGAAGTTTAAGAAAATGCGATAGTCGTCTTACTATTTACTTGACTATAGCTGTCTGTAATTTTGATAAATATTGAAAGCTTATCGTGGGACGTATGTAACTACCAAATTTTAAAAATATCTCAAAGATAAGTTTTCATTTAGAAAAACCGTAATTGTCTGTGATAAAATAGCAAGATTCTTGTGTGATATACCTTATGTTAATAAGATGATGGTTTATTTCTGTTCAAAATTAATGAGAATTGAAATAAGGTAATTAATTATCTTTTAATTTCCTACAGACATTTTATGGACGTGAAGATTTTGAAGATATTCCTGAAGACGAAAAAATGGACCATGAAGGAGCAATTATGGGTAAAAATAACGAGGAGGTATGACGGAATAGAGCAGTGCAGTTTTTTAAACTATATTTAGTTAGCCATGGATTTGAAGAAATGACGATGGACATGAAATGAGAAGAAAAGACAAACAGATAGAAGGACAGATACACATTCTAAGAAAGTAGAATGAGATTTAAGTATCATCATGCAACTGTATTAAAATAATCCATGGCTAACTAAAGTAACGTGGAGAGTGTATTGGGGGTGAGCGGTATTTATCATACTTATCTCCTTTCCGAGATAAATTAAGTGTTGAGGACATGATAGTAAAGTTGAACGTGTTCTGTTTAAGCTTCGGATAGTGCAATCAGCAGATAGGTCAGTGGAAATGGATGCTGGCACAGTAACTGCTCCAACTGCAAGTGGCGTTAAAGTGATGGTACGAAGGCGGAAAGCAAGGAACGCTATTTCGTTAAGTCATTTCAACTATGCAAGAAACACAGGTGTACAACGTAATCGTAATTAATTGTCAACTTCTGTATAGAGGTCACGGTGAGCCTCAAGCTACGAGGATGATGTCTGATGCTGAAGATAATACTGCCATTCATTTTACGCTTGATGTAGATCGAACTGCACGAGGATTCGAATTCATCCATGTGCTTCAGGTGCTTTGAAGTTTTAGTATGAAAATACCGTTTTTCAAAATTTCTTGATGGAAACAGAATTCCTTTGCCTACTTTTTTCCAGAGGTCATAAATTAATTCTATTTCTGTTCAAGTTAACTTCGTAGAATTTTTTTCTCAAGTTTTTTTAATTTCTTGCCATGTTGACTCTACACATGACATTTATTGATGGTGCTTCTCACTCTTATTTTGCGAAGCCACATGACATCATTAATCTGAAAATCATAATTATGTGTTTAGAAAATTACATAATTTATGTTTAAATGTGTAATTACGCTCTAGAAATCAATCAAAGAGGTTGAAGAATTCAAAAATATTAAGTCTAAATTAAGCGATGACGCTGCCGATCGTTTGTGCGAATTTGTAATCCACAAAATGCGCACTGTTTTGGAAGAGGTATTTGATTTATAATTTGTGCGAAATTATCAAAGTTGATCTGTTTTGAATTGATTGTTCAGAAAGAATGTTTAGAACGTACTTGGTATTGTAACTTTTATTCCTTAAATGTCACACTTGACTAATAGTTAAAAACTTTTGTAGCATCCATCATTTATGGTTTTTGAATTTGTAGCAGAATACTCTTGCAAGTTATAGTTTTACTTTTTCTTCTTGTGGTCTTTTGAAAGTGTGCATCATTACAGTCGACGCAGCGTAAGTGGATTGTGCATGCAGCTATCCAGAACAAAAGATGGAAAGTGAGCGGGTTAGAAAATTTGCTTGAGAAGGGTGGAGATATAAGGATGCAGCAAATGCTTCGAGTTACTACTCAGGGACCGATGGCACCAATAATCATTCTCGCATATATGGTTGGTAATTTTGAGAGTATATTTATTTGGAAGTAGGAAGTGCTCAAAGCCTTGAATAGGGGTTTTTCTATCTTTCTAATTTTCAGAAATACTAAAATTCACATTTTGACTTATTCTCCGCATGGACAGAAAAAATACATTTTAATTTTCAGATTGAAGTTGATGTGAGTGCTGCACAAGTAGTAAGGCCTTACGGAACTTCGTCACTTGCACCTTTTGCCATGGTAAGCAGAAGAAGTAGAAGCAAAATTCCTTTAGAATCAGCTACACAGTCCGTTTCAAGGTATTTCTTTTGTGATCTAAACTGCTTTTGTAACAGATTCTTAAGTCTCTGATTAATTAATTATTGCAAGCTTTCTGTTCACTAATCAAAAATTTTGAGAATTTTCAAAACATTGTGTCATATCCAAAAAATATAAGCATGCAGCCGTAAAAACTTATGATGTGAGATGAAAAAATTACATAGTCGTAACAAAGCGAAGTAATTTCAAATAGTCCCTTGACATTTTATTTAAATGAAGTAAACTATTTTAGAACATTCGAGAAAACTCTTGGAATGAAATTAAAGCGCTCTCCAACGTTACCAGGAGAAATTGTATGACTTAGATATTTAATTTTCGTACGCATCATAACTTCTGTGCATGTATTTCAGAGTGCTTCAAATTGATTTCGTAAAAATCTCGTCATTTAGCCTAAGCTACTAATTAAGTTAGCTTGGTAATGCTTCAGAACTTGTAATTTACTGAATATATCGGTCTTTAAATGTTTTTACTCGGCAACAACAAATTTTAAATGTTTTTATGTCAAGATACGGTATCCAGATACACAGCATACGATGAGTTCGAATCCGTCAGAAAAATTATTAGATGTAGTTGACAGTCGAGCACGATCACGTGGTAGTAAAAAGAAAGATATGGCACGGGGCAGTTCGACGAGCGGGAAGTTTGCCCATACAGTGCCACGCAGTGCAGTGTATTCCAATAGTCGACAAAAGGTTGTAAATTTATTTGCTTCACTTTTTATTGCAAAACAATTGTTCTCTTTTCAAAACTGGAACTGTGTAGCCAAACTCAACATAAATGGTCACATGTATATAATTTTATAGAAGAAGTCAACTCCATATGAACCGAAGAAAGGATATAACCTGAGAAATGTTGCTCCAACTAGGCGTGCGTTTTTGATAGACACCGAAACTCGTTCAAGATTTCCTAGTTTTCATAACACGGAAAAACTGCCGATCGATAGCACACAATCTGAGTAATATGTAAGAACTAAGTACTAACAAACATATTCTTTACTTGTAGTCAGCATTAGTTTCTTGCATTAATTGAAAAATAGCAGATATTGCACGTCATGCAAAGGTCTGTTTTTAAATGTTAAATGCAAGTCACTACTGCTTTATGCACATGATATTGGTAAAGTATTATTCACTAGCAACCATACTGATAGTTGGTTCACAATGTGAATGATAGAGGTACTATACATATACACATATATGCTCATATCATTTTGAAGGATATATCATTTGGTCTTTAACTCGGTGTAAATGTACATATTAAAAGTTGTAAGCAGAAAAAGCTAGCAAGAATAATAAAATATTAAGTTTTTAGTTTTCCATTACACTAAAAATATTTGTCTTTCTTAGCTCCATCAATATTTTTGAAATACGAATACGACAAAATTGTTTATATTTGAATCATTTGAGAACTACACTGACTGACGACCGAAATTAACGTCTAAGCGTTTCACTAAATCTCTTTTATTTCTTACAGCACTTATTTGTACATATGATGTCATCAAATATAATTAAAAAGTATTTTTTTCTAAATCCAATAACATTCTTTTGCTATCTCTTATGTATACTGTTACAAAATAATTCTTTTTACTACCGTATAAGCTTACTGTTCCAAAGTTTCTTTCTCTTTGTAACGATCACAATCAAGACGGGTTAAAATAGCTCGAAATGAACATCAGACTTGATCAAAAGTATATGATTTTAAACAACAAGCATAATAAAAAGCATACAATAAAGAGGGCTCTGATTAAAGATGAACCGATTGAGAGTACAACCTTGAAGTGCAATAATCAAGTACACTAGCCAGATCCAGCTTTAATGAAATCAATAACATTGCTTGTATTGTTGAACTGTAATGAAAATTAAAAAACAATGTCAGTGTCGTGCTCTTCAGCAAGCGTTATTATAGCTGTGCACTTGGAAGCAGATATTTGCAGTAAAAATTAAATTTAGTATAATATTTTCATCTAAAGCAAAGCAAGTGGAGACTGGACCTATTGTTAGAAGTGTATGCAGCATGAAATATTGTTATAAGTCTTTCAACGATGCATTTCCGAATTATCTTGAGGATGACATGTGAATAATCAAAAGAACATGCAGATTCAACAACTCAAGGTTTCGAGCTGTTATAAAAGACTGAAAAGTTCAGGTTACTCAAAATTATTTTAAATTTCGATATCCACCTTGATGCATTATGCTACTAGAAGACAGATAATGCTATTAGGAAACATTTTATAGTCATTGGGAAATAATTTTATTTTTTGAATCAAAGATCTCGCCACGACAGGAAATTTTCGATAAAAGCTATAACTGAATGGTAACCAAACTTGGTGCTCTGCAAACTACGGTTTTATAAGCAAACGAACCGTTATAAACCTATATTAAAAGCGGTCCTCTGCTGATAATAATCCGTCCATTAAGATGCCTTCAGCAAATATTCTGCTCAGGAATAAAAAATTGTAAAAATTTTAGGAAGCTACATGCATAACCTTTAATAGGTTAACATTGCTGATGCAAATTTAAGAAAAAAATCTCATGCGCCTAAAAAGGAACGATCAGTCATTTAGTTCCGCTTTCAGTTTAAGTCATAATGTAGTTGAATGGTAGTGTTAATATTTTCTTACAATAAATTTGACCAAATAAACAGTAAGACAGTAATAAGCTTAAACAATTTGTATTTGAAGCAAACATTTCGATCAAACCAGCTTGTGTTAGAAAATTGCACTGCCACTTACAGATTTGCCTCAACTACACACTGATTAATTCGTAGCTAATATCGTCCCCAAAATAATTTCAAGCAGATCATGACACCAATACACAATTCTTTAAAATGAGTCCAGAGAAACTCTTCTTTTCTAACTTTATTTTCTCTGCGAATCACAAAAATTATGCGTATATTATCACAGCTCAATAAAATATCAGTGTACTTCTTAATTTCATTTCCTTTATAAAGACGGAAGTTCTTTTCTTTGGCATGACAATTTCGTAAACGTATGAATAATTTCTGAGAAATACAGTTTATTAGGAATTCAATGCTTTAAAACTAAGTTACAATTCTGTACAAATTCATTCTTAAGCGAAAATGTCACAAAATACAGTCGGATGGGTCACAACTATGCGAGAAATTTTAAAACACCATCGTGATGTCGTAATTGATGACATAACGAGACGAAAGCGAGCAATGCTGGTATCTTTCCAGTGCTTATAAAATATTTAATTTCATTAGCAAGATTCATCTAAACTGAATGACCATTTATCGATTAAATAACAAAGTCTTTTCAGGACACATTTTTAAAATCGAAGACAGCACATTATTTATGGATAGTCCTAGCAATAACGATATTTCATCTTAAACTTCTTCACGCCATAACTTACCCACTGCACTACTGTATCAGTAAGGGAATCAAATCAAAGACTTATTCAAGTGAAGAAGAACCAGTACCACGTACTCTTCTTCATAAAGTTCGTGGAAGGGTCTACAAACTACATTTTAATACTTGCTAAACACTAGCCCCATTCAGACAAAATTAACTGCACTCATTGCTGAACCGAATTTTTTAATCTAATATTTCCAAGCAACTTCGTCAATATTAGCACTTGGAAATTATGTTAAATATAAAAAAAGCAGATTACCAACCTTGCTTTCACTTTAATCATTACCTATTTACTACACTTTAAAAACAAACGAATGCATACCACTAATGGGACATAATAAATCATGTAGGTTGCAATGATGTTTTTTGCTTTCCTTGCTATTTGGCACTATTTCTCCTGGATCAATCCTATGAGCGCTCTGCAGTGGAATCTCAGCGTTCGATCTCAAGTGAACTGGAAACCACAAATGGTAAATAATCATAAGCAAGACTTAATTGCGTTCAAATATATGCATACTTGAAAAATATAAATTTCATAAAATTTAAATTACCTTCGTTGAAAGCAAGCAACAATCAAATACAAGATTTCAAATTTTCAAAACGGTTTTAGTTGGTAGCCGCAAAAGGTCATCCAATAACGCAGATACCAACATTATAATCTGACACTCTACAATCTATTCGATCGTATTAAGATACTACTCAGTGCAAATCAGATCGAAAAGTTGATGCCGATGTTAACGTTCATTTGAAAAATGCTATACTTGATCCGATGCTTATCGTCTGATACTGAATAAGTCACATTCAGTATCATTAGCAAGCAAATTGACTGCCAGCATGTTTAGGTAAATCTGAAAATACCACTACTCTGTACATATTATTTAAAAAATTTCCTTATAAACCTTGACATTTTGACTAAAAAGATAAACCGTAATCCAGTACATGGTTACATTTCTGCTACCATATAAATATAATAAAATATGACAATTTGAGAGTGGCACTTCAATCTTGTGTATTTTCCTTAGCTAATAAAAATTCGTGCCTTTCCGTCACGGTTTTTTAACCTAGAAGCGTGGAAAATTTATGCGTCACCTTACAAAATCCATTTATATTTCGAGAAGTTACAGAAGATCAGAACCGAAACACTTATTAGTCTACAGAGATGATTGTGTTCTGCAATGAAATGTTGACTATGAAACTTCGGTTAATGATATTCATCAAAGAAAAAACGATTGGAAAAATGCTGTTAACAGTGTTAACTTAGCCTAAGCCAAATTAAATACAATAAGTATACAAATAGACAAATGATATGAAAAATGATCTTTGAGTATGGAAAATGAAAATAACTTATATTTACAACTGCAACTAAAGCTTGAGAATAAAATCGCACAAAATTTCTGTTACCACGTCATAAAATGTAAATTATCAAAAAAGATTTAGTCCGAAATTTATTTCTAGAAAGGAGCGAAAACCTTAGTTGCCAAAAACCAGACTGAAATATCCAGCAAGATTAGTAATTCAAATCATTATATGTGCATTTCATTCCAGACAAATGAATGTAATGAACTGAGAATCCGAAAAAAAACAACTTGTTGAAGGCAAGACTTTTGCTGGTTCATAGAGTCTGCTCAGCCTGAAGTCACTTGAAATATATCACTGTAATAAGTCCTTGACTGTAATAAATTTTGCAAAAAAATTGATATTACCGTTTGTGGTGCTCGAAATAAATACTCGAAGCTATCTGGTAGACACTGACTTCCAAATTTCTGACCACGAAAGGTAATGAAAATTGAGGGAAAACCTGTCTTTTTCAAAAGCTGATATTATAATACGAAATTTTGAAGCTCTGACTGAAATAATTTATAAATGTTTTCCTGAGGAACGTAGAAATACAGTCGACATATCATTTGGTGAAGTAAATATTTAGTATGCGCAAAATTGAGCAGTTTACTCTATCAGAAAGATGAAATAGCACACAAAAATGCAAGAATATATTAAACGATATGAGATAAAACTGCTAGATTAAATACACAATACACAGCACTGACTAGGTTATTCCTAACAGTGGTTGTCAGCAAAATCCAATATTTACCTTATTAACAAGATCAAAAATGCAAATGTTGCGTGACAGTACTGTTATGCACTATCCGACAAGTACCAAATGGCTAGAGTTAACATGTATGCTTGAGCAGCAACATATTACAACTGATCAGGCGAACCCCATGCGAAAACCACCTGCTCGCCCCGAGCCACTATTTACCACTTTCATAGTACGCCACTCAGGTATTTTTCAAAATGTGTAATTGAATTACGCGTAATATTGCAATCAGATTTGATTTTAGTGTCGATTGGAAGTAAGTAAAGTTAGCTTGTATTTTTAGCAAATACGAAAATTCCACTTCTTTTCAGTTTTTTTTTGCTATCGTACTAAGGTGTGATTTCCTTCTAGAAATTTTCGCGGTAGAGTGAACTGATTGTTTGACTGAAGCGCCAGGATGAAGAAGAAATCTGCTTCAGAAAATAAATTTCGAGTACGTTTGCTATGAATTTTACTTGATCAGTTTAGTTATTCATAGTATGGTCTTGAATTCAAACTTTTTTCATAATATCCCACATGTCAGTTGTGAGAAACAAAGAAATGGGCAGCACTGTGCTCCATCCATTAAGACAAAGTTTGTAATATTTAATTGTATGCAAGTTTCTTATTTCTTGCAGTGTAGTGAAAAACTTGCGTTCATAAGCATGTATTATAGGCTTTGTAAAAAACAGTACTTACAGATCATTGTTAAGAATAACCCTCATTACGTTCTTAATTGTCAGAATTGCTACATCAATGTTAAAGGATCTGTTTCGGACTCCAAATAATAATTAGCTATTTTTAAAGATAGTAATGTCCTTAAAATTTTCAGCATGTTAGTTTTTCAGGAATCAACTAATTTTTGTTACACAACACATTATGTTTTAATGGTATTCTTATGGTAATTAATTGGAACAACAAATGACCTCGTATTTTCAGTATGTTTCTTTTACGGAACAAATTGCCAAGGTGAGTGTTGATATAACTCGATGGCATCCTTCAGTAGTGGCATCTGCTGTAGCTGAAAACGAAACACATTTTAATGATGCAGTAATCAAATACAGGGATGTAGATTATGGTTCATTCTTTGGTAAGATTTTTATTTATCAGAATAAGAATGCAATAGTTTCATTCATGAGTGTTTTCACTTCAAGTTCTTGTTTTGTTTAAAATTAAAAAAAGTTTAATCAATGTTTTGGAAAGGAAAATCTCCAGTAATAGTAAGTATCTGATATGACAGAATATGATAAGCGAGAACTTCAGCACTTCAAATTTATTTCGTACCTTTAATGCCAAAAAAAGTTACAATCTTTTTTCATTAATTTTAGAGAATTTTTTGCATGATATTCCGTATTTCAATGGCGAATTGAGAACGTATGCACAGCTTCTTCATCAAAAAGATGTCATTGCTAAAGCTTTAATAAATCACTTAAATGTAGTGGGAAGTACATCATTGTGCACACTACTTGGGTATACTAAATTTGATCATGTTATCTTGCTGTGATTTAAATCTTGACATTATTGATTACAAGTCTCTTTACATTCGTGGATAAAATTTTAATTGTTTTATTCTAATGGCATCAAAATTATTAATGTTTGTATAGTCTGAACGCTCTATCCCTTCTTTTTTTTAATTTTTGAAATGGACATTAAAAAAAATTGGATTTGGTTTCAAGATGATTATTTCAGATTGACGACTGCTTTTGCTCAAGACTTAAGAGATGATTTCCAAATTTATTTGTGGGAGTTTTTGGAAACAATTATAGCTATTTTGGAATGTTCGCACGAAAATAAAGATCTTCTTGAAACTGGTTTTTTCACATTAGCAAAAATATTTTGGTTGCAACGGAAGCGGCTTGTTTACAAACTTCCTGAATTTTTCATGTAACTTATTTTTTCTGTATAGATTCTAAGTTAGTTTGGAACTTAGTGTAATTTGATTCCAGTTTTATATTTTAGACGTTTTAAACGGGTTTTTTGTTGCAAACGGACATATCTGCGCCGATTTATTGCGGAAGCCTTAGCTATTCTGTTAAGAAAGTCGAAAACAGTGGGCAAAACGTCTGTATTTTTAGCAGAAACAGTTAATGAAGTTAGAATTTTCCTTCTTTTTGGTTTTTGTAAACAATTACTTATCATTTTACAATGATGTGTAGTAATCGTAATCTAAATTAATGGAGATTAAAATTTACAAATATGTAGGACTTCAACAGATCGTTGCTGATTGATGGCATATCTCGGCTTTATTTCAATGCCTTGAAAGTTAATGAACGGCAGTTTCACAGTACAGCTCCTGAGGTACATTTTCTGATGTTTAGATATTTTCAATATTTCCTTGTCATTCGAAGTATATAACTAGTACACTTATCTTGCGATTTAACAAACTTATATTTTGAATGTACATAAATTTTCAGCTTCTCTCTCAAATTTTGCAAGCAACACTCGAAATTGAAAAAAATGATGTCCAAGATGTTGCTGTAGAAATTTTGAAAGGAACGATTCAGCAGTGCAGCGCATACACATCAAAGAATTATAGCGAGTTACTTGTGAAGCTCTTATTGGTATACTTGATTACTATAAAACTTTTTTTCAAAGTTTGAAATTTTCAGAAAATCTCTTACTGATTTTATTTTCATTGAAGCTTTTTGTATTGTTTGACCAACAGCTGTAAAGACTAAATTAATTTTTCAAAAGCTAGGAAATTTAATGCTTTTAGAAAAAAACTTCTTTGAATGTTATATTGCAACTGTTCTCACATTCGGTAAAACATCACTTATCAGTTAGTAATATCTTAATACAAATTTAGAAGTGTTTGATTAATACGAATAATTTTTAGGATTTTTATTGCTTGACAAGTTCATCGTCTGATGCAACAGTAAGATCAATATTGGCTAAGCTTTTAACAGCTTGGATAAGTGAGCAAAAGGGCAAGTCACTGCATAATCCTTCAGCTCTTTTTCAAACTTTAATATCTGTTATGAAAAATGGATGTGGGAAAATCGACGAAGACACTGTTACTTGTTTAAGCTTGGCAATTAAAAGGTAAGAATTGTATTCTTTGATCTCGAATTCCGTTTTTGTACAAATTATATTTTCGCAGAAAGTAAATTCATAAATAGTTGAAATTTTAAACATTAACATTTTTAATCTAACTACGCAAAAACTTGGTCATTAAAGTTTAAAATTAAGTAATTTCAGTTATCATCAAGAAAGTGCGCTGCATACACTTATTACTTCATCAGTATATACGCTTTTAAAAGATGATATGAGGTTGGGCATTTTTTTAAGAATAAACTAAAGCAGTTTGTTTTGTTTTGAAAATTGGGAAGTGTCTTTCTTTTAGAAATTTGTTACAAAATTGTTTCACGCTGCAAAGAATATTATTGTAATCTTCAGTAAATACTTTTTAATCTAGTGTAATAGATCATATGAAGTGGTTCCATGAACTATTTGCATTTTTTAAAGATTTAGCGGGTTTCAAAGTTATATTTCTAGATGTGATTTCCATGTACTATTGCGTTTTCTTTATGGACTTTTCGATCTTCCTTTGTTTGATCTGTGGATAATGCCACTTATTGGCTTATATATGTCTCGATTAGTAATCAAAAGTGGTAGTGAAGTCACTTTAGCAATATTCAGGTTTTATGCAGACATCTGTAGTAGACGAAGACCAGTATCCAACTGCAGAGGTAAGGGAAAAATGATAGGATTAAAATGATGCATGTATATGTATGTCGCGTGGTAAGCCTTTTTTTTAACAGATGAGTTTGTTGAAAATATTCTCTCGTAACCATCTTTAATGCTTTATTGACTCCGACACTAGATCGTGTTCCGACATTGGCTGTACTTATCCGTACTTAGTTCTGCTGATTCCAGTGCACTGGTCCTGGTCGAGTGCTTTCCCATATCCTTCACAGAGCTTTCTTCAACAGCCTCACCTTTTTTTATTTGTTTTCATTTATGATTTCAAGCTCGTTTTTTTTTTTGCGTTTATTCTCCATTTCCTGCTTTGTAATACAATTTAACTAGCTGGTCGCTGGATCACTCGGCAACTCTAGCAATGAATATATATATATATATATATAGCTGTATGTAAAAAAATTTTTTTTTGCTCCATTTCAGAAGGCCGGGTTTGTTTTTTTGATCCGACCAATCACTTAGAAGTGCGCAATCATCTTGTTGCAGTATTCAACTGCGCAGAAGAATTTGATGAAGAAGTTTTAGGTTGCTGTTTAATAACATATCCATGGTTGTGGAGAGAGTCCGAGAACCCAAAAGGTAATGCTTATTTTCCACCAAAAAAATCAAACCTAAAGATATTTATATTACAGCCAGAGAATTTGTTTATTTCATGTTATGATTATGAACGGTATGTTTTTTTTGAGTCCTAATTTTAGTTTTGTTTAGATCGCTTTTATTAATCTTTTGCTTTTTATCATATTTGTTTGCTTCATTTTTCAGAAATTCAAACTTTAATCGCAATCCTTGAAAGTTCAATGAGCAGCTTAAATCGGGTAAATGCGCGTATAGCACTCCTTGCTGCCAACGCTCTTTTTTTGTTCGATCCTAGTGTATTCAATCGACTTTCTTTGACGGATTTGCTCAAGAATTATAGGAATATGGGAAGTAATGAAACTGCCCTCCGTGTTTTAGCTTTAATTTTGCCACATGTCAAGGATTCAGATAAACTACGAAAAATTTCAGTGATGAAGGAGGTTATAGTTTAATTTGTTTAATTTCCAAATCAAAATTTGTTACTGATCTGGTAATAGATTACGTTACTTGATTGCGAAAACTGTTGTAGCTTTTTTATGTCGGTATTAAGTTTTTTAGTTGAATCATTCTATAGTCCCATTATCTCATTCAGTTTGTGAGCTACTTTGATGAATCTTCGAAAAGCGTGACAAGGGTAGATCTAAAATCAGTTTATTATTACTGTCATCATCTTTTGCATCTGTAATTGATCTTACTCTTCGTGGTTTACCTCAACTTCATTGATGAAATGTGTCATAAACTATTTTTTTTCAATCATTATTGAGAATCACCTTTTTACAGGTAGCAGAGGAAATTTCTCCTATGTTTGGGCACCACAGCAGTGATGTGAGACGCGCTGCCTTAGAAATAATGCTGCTCTTTGATGTTCATCTCAGTAATAGTGAAAACGACGATACAACTCCAGTGAGTTCATTATTATTGACGTTTTATACAGTTGTAATTATTTTAAGTGATCTTAATGTTTAATCTTAATTTCTAGATCTGAAAAGAAAGTTCATTAATTTTTTGTGTTTTGAAAGTGTCTTTGATCTGCGTTGAATTCATAATATGTTGAAGGTGAAAATTTTATAGTTTGCATTGGAAAATCCGTTCAGCCTTCTTCTAAAATCCGAAAAAATACCTTGGACACTGCATGAATATAGAGCACGTTTAGTGTGTTTGCGTCAGTTGTCTTTTAACAGTATTCTTACAAAGTACACGCTTCGAAATTTTGGTGTTGTTTTTGAAACGGTTGGTTTGTTTCTTCATAGTAACTGCGAACGAAGATTTGAAACAGATTCATTTTTTCTCAATTGCACACTATTGGTATCATCATCGTATTTTGATTGACTGTATGATAAAAAATGAAATTGAGACGAAATTTCCGTAACTATTTATGCTGTTTTCCGTTCTTCAGATTCCCTTACGAATTGTTATTGGAAATTTATATGAACCGTTTACAATTGCTTGGAGTGAGTTGGAAAAAATCATTGAAGATTACGCTTATGGCCTTCATATTGATACGTTTTTCTGCATTATTTTGCACTTTATTGAAGAAGCAACTTTGAAAAGTATATTTTAGCGTTATATCGTATTTTTTTCTTTTAATGCCAGTGTTATTTAGTTGATGAAAATTCTTCTTCTTGTTTGCATTAGAGAAAATTGAATAATATCAAATTCTTATTACAGTAAAATCCAAGAATATCAGTTTAAATGAATACTGTTTCTTGGATAAAATGATAAGTATTAATGAAACGAAAACTCCTGATTATGTCACGTTTCGCTTGGAGATGTTTCGGGTTCTTGCTCGTATTAGCCACTTGTCTGAACGTCAGACTAAACTCATTAGTCCTCTCTTCATTAATTTTTTCAAGTAAGAATATTTTACTAAACAACAAAAGAGCTGTAAAAAATTTAATAAAAGTAATTTTTGATGATCAAATGTGATAATGATAAAATGCAGCATAACTTTATTTAGATTGTTAAAAGAAATCTGTAACAGTAAATTACTCTTATGAAAGATACTTTTGTTGGACATAAAAAGAAAGAACTCTGAATAAGTAAGCATGTTCAGAGTATTTCAGCAATGGAATTCAAGCATTTAGAAATGAATTATTTCGATTTATATAATTCTAGAGATGAATTTCAACAAGAAGGCATACTAGGAAGACGAGAAAATACTTTGAGAATAGCACCAACCTCTTCTGTTGATGTGGATGAGAATGACATTGAAAATAATAATCTAAACAAAGACTCTGAGACGTAAGTTTATGCAAGAATTAAAGTTTTGATTGGTTCTTTTTTGATAATTCAATATTTTAACAGGTTGGAGTTCGAGAAACTCGAAAAAATGAATATAAGATACGAAGGCAAGCGCATCGAACAAAAATTAATTAGGGACAGTTTGATCACTCTTCTAGAATTGTTTTCGAATTTTACTTCACCAAAAACTATTTACTTGGCAAAAGAAGTCCAAAGTATATACAACGAAGTAAATACTAGTTTGTTGATACTGTTTTAGTTTATTATGGCAGTTTTCTCAACTTTTTTTTATTTTGTGAATGGCTACTATCCGCATAAAAATGGAACTACTCTCCAACTTCTTTTAGACTGCTTTTTCAGCTCTTGATGGTTTGTGATGAATCAGTACAATATGGAGCTTTGAAGTGTCTATTCACATACAAATATGAATATCTCAAACCCTACAGGTTCATTTCAAAGTGTTTTGACTTATCAGAAACTCTTAAGTTTAATTGAGATTTACGTTGCGATTCATTTATTTCATTCTGAATAACTCATGTACAGTAACACTTTATATAAAGGTAGGTAGTAGATTTTCATCAGTTTTTTGATTATTGTAGGGAATATCTGGAAAATCTGGCACAGGAGCGCACTCTACTAAACAGCTTACTAAATTTTTGCGTTGACGGTCAGAATCTCATAATTGATAGCAGTCATCGTGCCGGTTTCATGGCTGTTCTTTTAAGGTCAGTGTTGTTTTTTATCCAACATGAGTATTTTAAAGCCTTGTTCTACTAATGGTTTTGGTGTGGTTGAAAATACACTGATATTTCACTGCATTTTTTAGCCATTTTTGATAATTTATTTCTCTTCCAGGATTTTGTTTGGGAAATGCGGCATGCATACTAAAAGAGACATGGCTGGGCGTCGAACTGCTATTTTTCAGTTTCTTGTTAACTGCACACCTGATGAATTGAATTTTTTCTTCAATCTCCTTTTTGCTCCTTTGCTTAGAGCTACTGGTTGGTATTTTTATAAACAATGAAAATTTTGCCGAAGCTACCATATGGCTATTAATTTTTGCAGGAGAAAGAAATGAATCATTACAAGCACTTTGTTCTCGAATAGTCTCAGCTTTTGATGCTTCATCAATGCTCCCACTTGTGGTCATCAAAGGGTTTGTTTTCCTTTTCATGGAATACGTTTTTGGTAATTAGCGACTTGTAAACGACACAAATAACTTAAAAAAAAACAGTGAGCTGAAGTATAAAAGAGTAGGTGAATAATGGATTGAATTAGAACTAATTATGGTATCAATTTCTTTGCACGAAAATGAATTTGTTGTAACATAGACGTTGTGAAGTGTCGCTGCACCTCCAACTTGATTCGCACATAAAGTTCCATTTAAAGGTTCTGAATGAGCTGCATTAACACTTTGGTAGTATTCGGTCCACTCTTTGATCCAGCTCAATCGACAGTCACATATAATTGGGTTACCCTAAAATTAACAGTATTCTCAACTCGCTTAGTCACTCTGAATCCAAAAATAATTGTTCACTAGTTCGTATAATATCGTAAAATTATTAAGACACGTATATTCGCAATAACTCTGTCTAGTCTATATGACCTTCGAAAAGAAGAATAAACTCCGTATACGGAGGTAATTTTCCTCTTCTCTACTATTGATTCTTCTGGCACTGGACCGTATTTTCTGGCATTCTCGTTGCAATAGCCTTGCGCTCATCCATATATATATATATAGTTATCATTTGTTGAATATCAAATTTTTCAATATATGAATACTCTTTTCTTGAGAATTAGAGAACAGATGTCATTACTAACCACCAACTGTAGATTCTGCAGAATAGTGCCGTGCTGATTAAGCACGGGCGGTTTGTTATGTCGAAATGGTTCAAATGTTCGTAAGCGATTATTTAGTAATGAAAGTGAAAGAAAACTGACGGAATTTAAAGTATCGAATACAGATGGCGGGAATATTTCAATTCCCGTATCACGTACTGTTAGATCTATCTTGTAACCACGTAGCTGAGCAAATGCACCCATGTCGATCTGAAGTGAATGTAGGAATTTGAAAAAAATGAAAGTTGCTTTTGAATTCTACATTTGTTTGGTAAAAAATGAATGCAGTATGTTTCAAAAGAATTGAATAGTGAGCGCAAAAACTGAAAATTTTGTCATGATTTTGAATTTTATTGAAACCGTGAGAAAATCGCCTTAAATTTATTGCGCATGAAATAGAACAGATCATTTCAGATCATAAAGCTTACTTTGAGCATTCGCTTTCCTGTTATAACAATCTTTCTCAGTAACCTGAGATCGGCGCTATGTAATTGATTCGTCAAGCGTGGTTCCTTTATTTCGAGCGTTAAAGTTCGTAATGGAGGTAAATGCTTGAGGATGTCTGGTATGTTGTAGACATGTACTTGTGGGAGATTGTAGATCTGAAAATTACTTGGCTCTCAAATGAATTTGAGAGATTTTTTTTTATATTAGTCGGAAGTTTAATTTTAAATGGAAGCAAAGAAACGAATTATTCACTTGTAGATTTCGCAAATGGCGTAAATTTCGAAATGAATATGATTCTGGTAAGCGAAGCAGATCTTTCATATCGCCTAAATTTAGCGTGTCGAGCTGAAATATTAAGTTGAAATTCATTATTCGCTTCATATTTGAGAAGTCTTGTTGAAAATATGTGTAGCTTAAGCCCAAAAAAGGTACGCAATCTATTATTTTTTGGAATATTCCATACATTATACAAATTACGAAGGTGTTTGTCGGTAACTTCCGCAATTGGGTTACCGGAAAGATTTAAGTGCTTTAGTTCAACAAGGTCCGTTAATAGTTGAGGAGAAAGTTCTCTGACGTTGTTGTAGGATATGTCAAGTGTTGTCAGTTTTCGGTTATGGGATAAGCATACCGCACTAATTTCATGGATTTTGTTGCTAAATTCAAATTTCTGACTATTAAAATACTTGCGAATTTGCATGAATTATTTCCATCAAATTAAGTTTTCAAAAGTTTGCGCTTATTCTTTTTTTCAAATGGTTTAAGATTGAACATTAACTATAATGATGAACTTGAGCTAGTAGAGTAAAAAAGCTGTAAATAAAGGCTTAAATTCATGTTAGCAATTTGCATTTAGAATCATCCTAAGCTGTCGATTGTAATTTAAGTTATTTTTACTTTGCTATGAAGTTACTATTTGTTCACCTGCTAATATTCAGAAGTCGAAGGCCACTGTTATCAATTTTCGGCAAAGAGAACAAACCTGTATTGGCTAGATCAAGTACTTCAACAGCTTTACTGAGATCCTGTAAGACTTGTAGCATTAGAATTATTTTCGAAAGTTTTTTTAAAAACTCAAAGATGAAATGCTAAATTGTATAAGGTATTTTTCTTGATTAGGCGTGAAATTTGGCCAAAGAATGTTTCGCAAGATTATACTCTAAAAGCGTGAGGATTCCACGACGTAATAGGGTTATGACTAAGATCTAATTTTATAAGCCTTTGCAATTTTGAAAATGCCGCTTCTTCAACAGTATCTATATGATTGTCCGTTAATATTAACTCTGTTAGATTTTCCATGCCTTCGAAATCATTTGCTTGTAAAAGTTGTATCCAGTTTCCCTAAAAATAAAAATAAATTCAAATCTTGAAGACCTAATTGTTAAGCTTAAATAAGTAGTTCTCTTCATTTGATGTGCAGTTAAAAATTCTTTTGCATTCTCAGTCATGTACTGATCCATATGTATTTGAATCAAGAAATTCACTTAGCTAGATAAATCAGTTGTGCAGTTTCTTGTTAATAGTTAATGTCGTAGAAAATTTTCGAGAATACTTTTAGATTTAGGATAGTGAGGCTTTTCTGAATAGAAATGAGTGCATGTCGAGGTATCTTTTTGAGTTCATTATATGCGAGGTCAAGCTTTCGAACATTGTCTACTCCAAATGTACCAGTATCCATGTTTGTAATGGCGTTGTTCCGCAAAATAAGGCTGTCATAAACATTCTGTAATTCTATTTTCCAGTAATTACGAAAAATGAAGATTATGGTTTAAAGAATGCATCGAAATGCATTTTATTAGAAAATTAAGAAATGCATTAATGCACCAGTGTACACTAGTTCTAAAGCATAGTATTTTTTGAATTTTATTTTTCTTTGTCTTATCTAATTTATGGTTTTTCTGATACCGTTTTATTTTGGCAGCGTAGCAGCTATAATCATTATTGTTGCTAATTTTTCAAGTTGGATTTTACCTGGTTCGCGAACGTACTTTTATGCAACGTGGTTAAATGATTATAAGATAAGTCAAGTTCAGTAAGCACTTTACATGTTGTAAGTGCATTATTTTGAACCTCTATCAGTTCGTTATGATTTAGTTTGAGCACTTTGAGTTGGCTAAAATCGTAAAGCATATTTTTTCCGATTGATTGCAGCTGGTTATGTGCAAGATTTAGATATACCAAAGTGCGCTTTGCAGGAGTTAAATCAATCCTATAAGTTATTTATGTCAGTCAGGCAAAGTAATGGTGGTACATGTTAATTATTCTCGAAAAATGACTAACAGTCATTGTTACTATGTTTATCTGTATTTCCTAGGAGTTTTTGGCGAAAACTTTAAGTGTGTATTTTACTGAAATCACTGAAATATTTCTTCCATTCGCTTACATGGATAAAATTGTGGAGGACAAAATTAACTTACGTGATAATGCGATTAAATGATAAATCCAGTTCTTTGAGATTTACCAAACTTTGTGCCAAGAAAGTGAAATCAAATGCTTGGATTTCATTATAACTCAGATCTAGTCGCTCCAATTTGTGCAAATTTACAAAAGCTGCTTTGCTTAGATGTTGCAAACGATTGTGAGCCAATGTTAGATATTCTAAGGACGGCATATCACTTATTGATCGTTCAGCTGCCATCATAATTCCATTTGCATCCAAGTGAAGTTGCCGCAAATTATTCAACGAAGAAAGTGTCTAGTGCAAAATATGTAATCAATTAGTTTTTTTTTTCCGAATTTTTGTTGGGAAACTGGTTTCAAAACCTATTAAGGTGGGAAATTGAGATTATTTGTTTCAGCTCTGCTTTCGATTGCTACGCTTAATTTTCAAGCATTAATGTCTTTTATGCTCAGTCATTATCATGATATAATCTTTTCATCATAAGATTTGAACATTTTGCTTTTGAAATTCCTAGTTCAGATTTTTGTGCATGAAATTTACGTACCAGTGTCTGGATACTTGTTATTTTGTTGTTGCTGAGTCGCAGTTGTTCCAGGTTGGTCATGTTTCTGAATGCCTTGCTAGAAATATGGCTGATACGGCTAGAAGCCAAATTTAAAAAGCGTAAATTTGATGTAAAATAAGTGGAGAATGTGCGATCCGTAATTGTTCGGAGTTTTGTGTTGCTAAGTGACAAACGTTCCAGTTGCGGAAAACTTTGAAGAAGGAAATCCGGCAGAACTTCTATCGGATTATCGCTTAATAGTAGGTAACGTAGTCGCTTCGCATGATTAATTGCGTTTATAGGGAATCGATTGAGTTCATTATTCTAAAGTTGTAGATGCTTTAATTTGAAGATTAAAAACGCCGAAAGCTTCTTGATTACAAAAATACAAAAGAAAGAAGTACACAGTCATTGTTTAGTAAATTGCAGCTGAACAAAGGTTGCTTGAGAAAAATTCTTAATTTTTTAGCTATTTACCTGCAGAAACAGTGACTCCAAACCTTCTAATCGTTCAAATGCGTGGTCACTTAGATAGCTTATGCGGTTATAAGATAAGTCAAGGTATGCCAATGAACTCATGTAAAGGAAAGCTCCGGGATCACTAATATTGACTATCATATTTCCAGCTAAATTTAGTTTCACTAAACTAGTTCCTGTGCCATCAAATTTCCCGAAAGCTAAACGTCCCATGGATCGAATTCTATTCTTTGATAAGTCAAGATGTCGCAGTCGTTTCATTCCATGTAGTACTTGAGTCGGTATCTCGGTTAGGCGATTAAACGCCAGTAGAAGTTCGGTTAAAGCTGGTTTCATATTATTGATTGTGTGATTATTCATTCTGTAAGTGGTATCTTTTAGATGTGGCCATGATTTTAGGGATAAATTGAGGCATTATGCTTAATATAAAGGTTTGTCCACTATTGCCAGTGATGGAAGGAAGCATTGAAGAGTTGTGAGTGTTTTGAGAGCAGCTAAGAGATCAATTGTCGACAGATATGTGACTTATTGCTTGCTTTTTCAGAAAGAATTGGGAAAGATTATAACATAGTCAGTTCATAATAATTATTTCTTTAACATAACTTTAGCATTGAATTTTAAGTAGTACAGAAAATTGTATAATCATGCAAGCACAAGTACTCACGCAGTTAACTTATTTCCGTTGAGATTTAATGTTTCTAATGTTCGCAGTGGTTGCAGAGCATTCGGTAACTGATGTAGTTGATTTTCTTCCAAATTCATCCATCGCAATGATTTTGCAATATTCTTAAATGTCCCTGTCGGTATGTGTGCTATTTTATTATAGCTTAGGTCAATTTGTCGCATTTGACTGACGGATTCAAAAGCAGTACTGGAGATTGCCGAAATCTACAAATTTAAAGCAATATTTTTGATTTGATGGTCCGTATTTTGCATTTTCCAGGTATGTCTGTCTGTAATTCTATCCTGTAAAAAATAACACTACTGGATTAATTGATGATATAGTTAATGCTCCAAATGTTCATTACTTTAGATCCTTAACATGAGTAGTTTAAGTTTTTTCTACCTGATTGTAGCTGAGATCTAATCGACCAAACTTTCGGAAGCTACTAAAAGCGTTATCTTTGATATGTTTGATGCGATTATTGCCCAAGTTTAAGTTGATTTCCGATAGAAATTCCACTTCATGGTTGCTGTCAATTTCAGTGATATTGTTACCTTCTAAATCCAATGTTCGTAATTCTTTCAATTCACGTAGAGCAAGATAAGGTATCTGAAAAGAGAGCGGGCATTTTTGAACGCACTTTACATTCATCATTAAATCAGAATGTATATATTCAATAGGTACTTGTAAAATTTTACCTCACTATCAATGTTACGCTACCGTTACTATTCTTAGAGAAAATTCAAGAAAATTCATCTATCTGATTTATCTTCAGATCGGATTTGTGATGTTCAATTATTTACACTGATCTCACAAATTTTTATGTTTAGAATGTATGAAGAGTGGATGAAAAATCTGTTCGAATATATCTTCGAGAAAATTTCTTCGAATCTTTTTAAAAACAGTTCCTCAACTTCACTGCTTTTGTTTACTGCCGCAGTCACAGTATTATTCGCAAAAAAATTTTTTAAAATACGTTGATCAGATTTGCATTTTTGATTTACTGTGGGGATCATGTAAGCATAGCATTCATCACTTTAACTCTCTCGTATATTGAAAATATGGTGCATTTATAAACTTCTGGGAAGTAACTTACTAAGATGAGTTTCTGATAAATTTTATGTATTATTATCGATAGTAGTGGACGTTACCATCTGTTAAGCATATGGAAAGATGTAGTAAAAATATTTTATGATATCTTGAAATCATCAGATTTGAATCAGATATATTATTATTCAATTAGGTATTTTGGTCATGAGTTCTTAAACTATTCTTTTTTATTTTTCGGTGTTGAGTCATAAGACTCTTCTCAAATCAAGTGTATATAAGTTGATTAGCATAATATAATGACTAATAATATGGTGTACCTGAGGTATAACGTTGTTTTTCAAATCCAAAAACCACGCAGTTGGTGGTAATGCTAGCTTTTCGATCTCATTAATTCGATTATTGGAGAGCGTTAATACTTCTAGTGGCAGTCGAAGAAGTGATTTTGTTGGTAATGTACTGATCTTTAATAATAAAACTGAATAAGGCACATCAGGACACTTCTTACATTTTCTCGAGGGTAAAAATTATTAAAGAAAATTTAAATTAAATTTAGACGCTGGAAAAAAGTGAATGAATTTTTAAATGAAGGCAGCTGAATACCTGATTGTAGTCGAGATTTAGGTAATGTAAATTTTCAAGCTGGGTTTCATCAAATGTATCAGATTCAATGTTGGCAATCATATTATGAACCAAATGTAAATATTGAAGTTGATGAAGATACGTCATAGCCCACGATGGTATCGTTGTTAAACTGTTTTGGTTAAGTGTTAATTGATAAAGTTTGTTCTAAAAGTGATCAGAATAATAAATGTGTAAAAAGTAGATACCATGCTTGAGATAGGAAAATAAAGACGTGATATTTTTCAAAATAGATAAAATAACCTCAAGACCACGGAATGCGTTGGCGTTAATTGTTTCAATGTGGTTACCAGTAAGATCGAGAATATGAATGTCTTGATTTTTGAAAGCATCCTGACTGATAGATACTATGTTGCTATGTACTATTGATAGAGCAACTATATTGTAAACAGTGTCCTAAATTTAACGGCATACAATTCATCTCTTTACATAGCTCTTTGGTGTGATGCTGTAAGAAGTAGAATAATGATTTTATAATGAGCATGAACAAACATTGTGAAAATAGAGTGAACGGTTGTCATAAGGAATGACTGGTATAGTGGTCCATGGTTGACGTCGACATTTTACGTGAATATTACCTTCACCATCTAGATTTTCACATCCACATACTTTCCATTTAGAATGAGTCGTAGGATCAAATCTAACAATTATCATGGTTTGAGAATCACGAAGTCTCGAATCGTGTTTGGAAAATAGGTAAGACAAAATTAAAACTGCTAAGCAATTAAAAATTTGAAGAAAAGATCGGGTTCAGTTGATTTGTGCTGAAAAAATGAGCAGCTGGAAGGTGGACTAACATTAAAGAACTGAAGTGTACATGACGTAAGTGTAGGTTGGGAAAAACTTTTGTGATCAAGTAATCATTACTGGTAACAATAATCAATTAAGGAGGAAAAACTCAAAACTGAGTATAATTTACTGGCATTCTTGTTCATTGAAAACTCCAGCTGATTGTATGAAGATAGTGGCAGTTCTAGTAATGATGATATTTAGGAAATACAGATATATCGATAAATTCCAGAAGTATGCTAACATCGTTGATCATCTTTGTAAGGGAAGTGTTAGTAATAATTAGTTTTCTTATTTATTGCATTCTTTTTAACCCATCAGTATTTGATATTAGCTGCAAAAACATGAATTTAGCACTGATGTAACAGTTACGTAAAAACAGATACAGAGGTAGTTGTATTAAATAAGCAGTAACAAAGTAGATTTGTTTTACTATGTAATAGCTGTTATCCAGCTGATATTTCGACTTCAAGATTTCAAGTAAGAAAACAATAGAAATATGTGAAGAAGCTGCTGAGAGTGAAAGTAGCTATATTTTGTACTCTTTCAAAGCTGACTGAGAATTTAATTAGTCGTAAACGAGAACTCATGTTTCATAATTTCATATAGTTATTAAGTAATGTAGTATATAGTTTAGAGCATAATTACGTTCAGTAAGAGGCTATAGGCAAATAATAATAACGATAATTTGCTGTGGTCAAAATTGAAATAGCTTCAAGTGATCCTATCCTCCTATCCTCCCACTGTCTGCAGATCAAAAAGGTGAGTGCAGCCGATAAAACTGATGAGATGTCGAAAAGGCTGAGTTAAAAGCATCTGATTCAATTGAACAGTTGTGTGTAGCAAATATAAAATATTATATATATAGGGGTTAATCTTCTTTTATGCATTATTGATTGCTGGATTGTGTTATGGCCTCTGGCTGTAACATGTCCTGCGCTCAGTTTTGTTCTGTTGGTCTCCGTCAGTTTCTCTTTCTGTATTCCACGTCAGTGTTTGAATGAGATGCTTTCAAACGTCTTCTTCAGCACTGTCAATTTGCTGCATGCCTCGACATGATCTTTTATGCTGATTTCATTCGCGTAGCGTTTATAGAAGTTCGCTACTATATCATTTCAAGTTATTACATACAGATTTATAATGTATGCTTTGAATGAAATATAATAAGTAGATGAGCACATTATGAAAAATCATTGAAAGGTCGACAAAAGTAAACAGATAAGGTGTTTGTGAAATAATGCATTTATTTATAGTTAAGATTAACTCAAGTATCAAGATAGTATAGACTGATTTACCACAAATGGAATGCAGATAATTATGAGGGAATGAAAAAAAGGTTAGATGTCATTAGTTATTTGAATTTACATCGTCGTGCATAATTACTAGGTTGATTTTATTACATGATACAGGTGGTAAAGAAAGCTCTGAATTCATGAACTTAACGAAATAGAAATCTTGAATGTTTGTTTAGTGGTATTACTAGTGATAAGTTACTTTAGCTGTGCTGGTGTAATGAATTATTCAGAAATATGACGCTTAACATTTATGAAAAAGCAAATTCTCCATTAAAAGCAATTTAATAGATTACGAGAATGACTGAATCACTTCAATATTGATTGTTTGTGGCTTATCCATTGTTTTTGTTATTATTATCATTATTAATTAGTAATATTTATTTGTCAATTATTAATATGGTTTTTGTTGTTATTGATAATAGATGTTTGAGTAATAATCAATCTATTATATGTGAAAGAAGGAAAAATAAGGTAACGACTGCGAAGAGCACGTTAATTCAGTTTCTGACAAAGCTATATCATGGTTTTCGTCATTAGAGAAGCAAAAAAAGATAGTGGTGTGGATTTTGTAGTAAGTCGAAAGATATCATCTTACTTTGTAACTATACTGAGAATCTTTTGCCCTGGTTATATATACTTTCCGTCTTTTAAATTGTATTTCTGGTAGATATTGATTTCGGAGAATGGAATTGATAGCAATAATAATTAGTCGCGTACACACTCAAAATTTAACAAACCGCTGGTATTAATAGTGTTGATATATTCTCTAATTTTTTTTTCATTATTAAATGATAGAACTATCATTAATAGAAATGTGTGTAGTGGGTTTGCTTTGTGAGTTATCTAAAGTTATAGCAAAAATTATTTGCAAAACGCTTCATTGAGTAGCTTTTAAATTATTTGACTTAGAATGAGAAAGAAAAGATGGCTGCGATTCGACTAAAAGTGAGTTATGTGCGTTTCATTCAACTTTAAGAAGTGTGAATAAACTTTATTTTATCTTTGTTTAGATTTTAGACTCTTATCAAGACAAGGAAACTGATTAATTTTTCCTTTTTTAGGTGTATGAGATAGCGTTAATGTTTTGAATAGTTTAAAATGATTTCTATTCCTTTTAGCATACGTAAGAAGTTCCTGTGAAATGAATCAAGTTGGAAGGTCTCAGTCTAAGTGAACGTTTTATTGAAAAAACAAATTTCTAGCAGTAAGTATAGAATCTCAAGAAGTGGTGTTTTTTCTAATTAACAGTATTCATTTTCTGCATTATTGAATTTATTTTTTTATTATGATCAAGAACTTTATAGCCTTTATCATTTCTGGTGTATATTTTGTCTTTAATAAAATATACATTAAAATTTGTGGATTGCTAGAAGGACGGAAATTATGCAGTGACGAAATTCTAGTTTTCTGGTTAAGTAGTCAGTTTCCGATTGGTCATATCAATTGTAGAATTCAATAATTATTGGTTAATAAAGAATAACTTCTTAATCATTACTTTATATATGAGCATGAATTATAAGACCGGAAGATGAACAAAGGTGATTGGATCAGATCGTTGAACTGCTGTGTTCTAGCAGTCAAATTCAAGATGTTTTTGTGCTTTTTTTTGCTGCGCTTGAGCTTTTATTGCAGTAAGAATTGGTTCAGATAATTTTTATTACTGAGACTACTTGCACGCAGGATGTATTGATAAACAAGATTGGATCAAATAATAGATGAGGAGCTATTTATCGCATAAGTTGTTAGCGTTTGGATGAGAAGCTACAAGCTTCGACATGAATGAATGAATGTGGCCAGTTAAAGATAAATTGTTAGTTCTGGGTAGGAGCTATTTCCCTGGTCAGTAGACGAAAATCACGGAAAAAATTAAGATGTAAAAATGCTTCTAGTAGTCGATATATATAATAATCAGTAACTTGGATTTAATATGAAGATATTACAAATAATTTTCATCAGTTGCAACAATCAAGTCATTTAACATTATTTTTGTTCGTTATACTTTCAAATATAATGGTAATTTTGTGAGTTGCATTGGAGCAAGTGGGAAATACATGTGAAAGTATCGATAATTCGTCATTTCTGATAAGCTTGTGTTCAAGAATTTTTTAATAATGATTCGCTTTTTTCTCTATTATAAATACTCATTAGTTTTGACAAAAAAGCATACGCATTGATTATCCAGAATTTAAAATATTTTTTGGAAAGCAGAAGTCTTTGGCATCATATTTTATCGGAGTAACGAAGTATGCAAAATATAAAAAAGGATAGCGGACAAGATCATTGTCTTGAAACCATAATATTTGGAAGTTTGTACATGATCAGGGATAAATTTTCAAATAAATAAAGACCATGGTCAGAGATTTAAAAAATGCAAAAAATAAGTTTAAGAAAATTGAGATAGCGACTACAACATTGATAGTTGCGAATTTTTTTTTACTTGTATGTGATAGGAATGAAATACTGCATACTATAACAGAACAAAATAACAAGAATGTAGGTGATTTATTTTGGTTTTAGATTCAAATCTTCCCAATACTTTTATTTCAGCAGTTAGATTGAGTTCCTAAGTTATTCTTATTTTAAAGTTTGAATAAAAGCAGGTAGGTATAGCCTGCTAAAATAATTTGAGAAGTGCATTAGGCTTAGAAAATGGAAAAAGGAAGTAGCGCATTTTGTTGTGCTAGTAAAAGAAAACATATTTAAGAATAGACTGAAGATCAAGTGAAATTTGATATTCAGTACCAACCCGTTCCAAAAATATTAGTTATTTATTGACATTTGTTGTTGAAAAATATGTTAGAAAGCTTCAGTAGTAGCCTTAGTTCTAGGAATTCTTTTGCTATTATTAAAACACAATGCAGAAATGAAAGTATTGGGATGATTTGAATGTAGTAGGAAGGATAAAAAATCCTCTTAAAATAATCATTTTATCAGATAATTAACATTCAGTATGCATGCAGTATGACTGAAAAAGCTTTACTTTACTTTAATTAGAAAATATAGGGAGATTTTTTTTAGATCATTATCACAAATCTACATAAAAACAAATTTTGTCGCCAAAAATAATAAATACAACTGATAAACTTTCAAAGTTAATTATTTTGACTGAACATTAATCCAGCAATTATAAGTACTAATAAGAATTCGGGGACTTCTTTGCACTGCTTTCCTGCAGTGATTTAGTTTTTGCGAAAAATATTATATTTACTCATTTTGTGATGTCATGAAATTGTCACTTGCTTCACAATTTATTATGCAGTATTTCTTAAACATTTGAAGTAACAATTAATAATGACAAGTATTTATTGCTAAAGGAGATAAACTGAAATAATTGACTTATTTATAATTAAATATCCTTTAATTGGTTGATCTCGATATATTATTATTAATAGACATATAATGACATAATATATGATAATTGTTAGCAGCATATTGCATATTATTGAAATGATTTTTCTAGGTCTCTGCGAAGTACTCTGTTGATAGCAACAAAATTATCACCGACACTAACAGATGATCAACAGCGATTTTTGTTCCGTATATGTATCACATCAGCGTTACTTGCTCGACTGGCTATGGACAATTTGGCATTTATTCAACCGCATCTCGTGAAACGAATAAGGAATTTACGTGTACTTTCTTGTAATGCTTTCAAAGAAGTAAGTAAAAATTGTTCTTTTTTTCTGTTCAATTGGAGATTTTTATGGAATTGCGCTTTACATGTATTTTGCCTTATCGCATCGAATATTTTACTAATTCTATCGAAAGATAGGAGTAATGACTTAAATATGAAAAAATCGTTCTTGGATTTAAGTGTTGAAGTTTTATATGATAGTGTTAGAAATGTGGCTGTAGCCATGTGTTCAACTTTTTTTTCACTCATAATTTAGTAAACTGTAAAAAATGTGGGATATACTTGAAATAGAAATTTCCATTTATGATTTTTACCGCAATTAGAAGTGTTTTATAGTTTTTTTAAAATATTTATAAAAAATTTTTCAAATTATAGAACAGCCATCACATAAATAGTTTGTTGTTGTTATTTCAACTTTGAAAATACTTCCTAATTTTAAATATTCATTTTTATGAACGGTAGGTAGCAGAGAAAAGTAATGTGGTAAGTTCTGCTTTTTTGTTATAGACTTGAAATCGCTTGTTACAGTGATGACTACAGTTTTTCATGCAAATTTATTTTAGAACACTTATAAAGAGTTTTTATTGCTTCTGATTTTATCATCTATTTTAGGTTTTCCATGCCTCGCAAGATCGTCATTTTGTAATTGATGAGCTCAATTCATTTATTACATATATTGTAACTCCACAATGTTTATACGTTGATGGTAATGCAGTTCCAGAAATTCCTCTAAGTCTTCTGCGATTGTTCCTATCATGGACATCGATTCCAAAGTATAAAAATTGTTTTCTTTTGTGCATAAATGACTATATATTTCTCATTATCTATGTGCTTTGCAATTATAGTCTAGCTCTGCGTTGTTCTCATTAATTTTTGACTTTCATTACAGAAGAAACTAAAGAAATTCAGGTTGTATCACTTTATTTAGATTATTCTTTCTGCTACGACTTCAAGTGGTAACTGATGGCAAGGCACCGTGTTCACTGCTATCAATTTTGTGTAACATGCTGTCCTCTAAAAGTATTAGTAATTTGAGTAAAGAAAAGATTATCGATGGCATATTCGATTTGCTAACTTTAGCCGACGAGATTACTACTTATGCTGTCCCGGATAATATCTTGTTTCCACTTCCAGAACAACATGGTATGTTGAACTGTTAGAAAATTATGATTGTGATATTTTAGGTTAATGAAAGTAGCATCCTTCGAATAGAATAGAAATGGGTTAAAAAAAATGCTTTATACGGAATTTCTGAAGGTTGATCAGGAATTTTGTTCAAATTTTAGTTAATCTTATTTTTGAATTGTTTTTTTTACTGAATATTTCTTGTTTATAGCTTTAATCTTCTTACGAAAACTATAGCGACTTCAAAGTTTGATATCCTTGCTATTCTTTTCATTTCAGGTTTAAGCAGTGGATTTGCTATGGTGATTAGTGAGCTGCCGAAAATACTAGCATTTATTTTTGCTTCTTTACCTTCAGAACGAGAAAAGCGCAAGCTTAAAACTAAGCATCTGGAACTCTTGAGCAGGTTGATACAGCTTAATTTAAATATGTCTTCTATCTACTACCTCAGAATCAAAAATTTTGTTCTCAGTTCATCTTGTCTGATCTTTTTATAAGTGAAGCCAAAAAAATATACAGGATCGAAATAATTGATATCATATTAGAAGTGCTAATAAATTTTAGAGTGAGCGATTTCATCCAAGACGGAGAAATGATTGAGCAGTATATTTCTGTTCTGTTGACATTTGTGAATTCTGGAACTATACGTTCTGATGATGTTATTCGGTCTCTTTTGTTAATCGTTTCACGAATGATGGCTGCAACACCAGAACCTATTAAATTTTTGAAGTAATTTTACTTTTTCAAAGTAAATTATACATTTTAGTTGTAAGATTAATGCAGTAAAATAGGATTTTAGCAATAAAAATATCATTCTTAAATTCATCAACTTTTCTCTTTTGAAAAATATTCGCATTTTGTCACTGTGCAATAAAAAGTAATTCTAGAAATTAAACAGAATTGTTGTTTTTGAGTCTGCAAAGTACATTTAATGTATTCTAGAATATAGTGTTGTTACATCAAGTTTCAACCAGATAATGTGTTACCACATGACTTAAGTTTGTTTTGCTGTTTTCACTTTTACTTACTGAAGTTATTTGTGAAGCAAAAATTCCTTCATTTTCGTCAGTAATGACCACTAGTTACCAGATGTTAGAATTAAATTTCAGGCAACTTGTAAATCCACAGTCTTCGCTAACAGAACGTTCACATCGCGAAGCTTTACAGAAAGTTGAAGAGGTCATAGCAGTGAGGATAAAAGAAAATGACAAGAGGAAGGCAGAACTTTTGAATTATATAATATCTTTCGATTCATGGGATGCAAGTCGAATTGGTGAACCAGATTATGATGAGCGTCATAACGCATATTCAGGCTTCAGTGAGGTCTGTAATCACTTCGTAATTTTTGAATAATGTTGTTAAAACGCCTTAGATCTATATTTTTCTGATGATTTTTCAGGCTTTAACATCAAATGAAGTGATTGATCCAGTTATATTGTGCTTAGCATTGCACAACGATTATTATGTTATAACTCAGGTATTGTTATAACTCAGTCGCGACTTTTTTTGTAAGCAGTAGAATGTTGAAAGATGAAGTTTGATCAATATGCTCATTTTCTTTGAAGCTTCGCTCATTAAAGTGCTGCGAAGATTTGTTTTTCATTTCAGTTCAGCGATATTTCACTACGCTCGGGTGCTACCAGGAATTTTCGTAACATTATTGAATATTTTGAGAAGTTTCAAATGGTCGAGTGTGATAACAACGAAGCTACAATTTTCATTATCTTGAAACTCATTGTTAAAGGTCTAAGCATTGAGAAGGAGGTAACTTGTAATTTTTATTTACACGGTTATTTAAACACATATTCAGCTACTGAATACATTTAAAGATGAATGCATAACATAAGGCGATATAAATATAATTCTTCATACTAGAAGTTATTTATGTTTTTCATGATCTAATTAGCGAATAAATTAATAATCCTTCAATATTTTAGCTCATACGCCATGATTTTGTGAAACTTTTGGTTGCAATGATTACTTGTTTCCCGATGCATAAGCATCTTCGCTTTTTATTACCTTTAAGAAATACTGCTGACATTGACTTGGACTTCTTCGAAAATATTATTCATTTGCAAATTCATCGAAGACAACGTGCTTTATACAAGCTCACACAGAGTTTGCGGACAGAAGAGGTTTACTTTGTAGTATTAATTTTTCTTTCAGAATTTTTGATATTAATATTTTTTTTCTTGATGAATATTGTAACAGTATCTCTAAAATCAGATCGTTAAAAAAATGGGGCTTTTGACTTTGTTACCATGACATTAATTACAGCGGCCAAAAATTTTTTGCAACTTTTATTTCAATATTTTGCTGCTTTTGTACATCATTATTTTCAATTTATTAACCAAATACACACGTAATTGATGAATATAGGAATTAGTTGATTTTTACTCGGTTTCAATTACTTGATCTCTCACTTACATATTCAGATGCTAATTTATCTGTTTTTCTATTCATCCATTTATAATGTGGTTGAAGCAGTACAAGGATAAGATAGAATTGTATGCGCCAAAAATTATATGTGAGAAAGAGGGGAAAACTATACATTCTCGAATATATATTAGTTTATGCTTAAAAATGTGGTTATTCGGTCGCAATTTCGTTCAGTGTGATAAATTGTTTTAGTTCAATGATTGTTTTGAACTCAAGACAAATATGAAGATGAAATTGTCATCGTTTTTTGTAGAAACTGAAAATTTTTATAATCCGAAGATAAAGTTACTAATATATAGAACTTAAATTCTCAGGCTGTGACCTCAAGCTCGCTTCATAGGTTGTTTGAAAAAAGTAAAACAGAAGTCATCATTTGCAGATTTTAGCTTCATTTCATTATGTCAGTTTGTAGACTTTGAGAATTCTTCTTCTGAATGTCTATTTCTATCTGGAAAGCTGATTCTTTGAAAAAAAACTAAACTGCAGTTATAGTTTCAAAAGAAGTAGAATTTCATCAAGATAAAAAATTAGCTTCCATTATATTACTTAAAATACCACTCTTTATAAAAATTTATTTCTTTGCAGGTTCATATTCCAAATGAAATTTTGCACCAGTTTGTGTTACCTTTATTTAAACCATATTTGTCAAATTTATCTAGTAGTACATCTGCTTTGAGTGATGCTGCTCTCGGACTCCTCAAACAAATTATGAGTAGGACACCATGGAAGAAGTGAGTTCGAAATAATTGTTTTTTTTTGAGTCTGTCAAATATTTGTTACCATCTATATGTCCCGGTTATACATCGGAGTATTGTTAACAAATAAGAAGCGTCGCTACATTGAAAAGGAAACAAAAGCAGAAGTAATAGCCAAAATTGTGCCCGTTATGTTGAAATTTGTAACTAACAATACATAGTGTTAATTAAATTAATTCTTTGTTTGCTTTTTTTCAGGTACTTCTCAATGTTAAACTACTATCTTAAACGATTGAAAAAGGAAGATACTAATGACAAATCACTAGTGAGGTAAACTTTTAATTTGCTGTGACTTTTTCAAGTTCAAGTTTATTTGGTAAAGTTTATTTATAATGAGCCAAGATTTGCAGTATTTGAAAATAAAGTTCAGAAGAACTGTGATGAAATAAATCTTAGGTGAGTACTAAAAAATGCTGAGAGCTCAGTGAAAAACTTTTTCTTCTCTTGCAAGAGCATCTCGATAAATGATTCTTGGGTGTTTTGAATTTATTCACAGAAACAGCTCAAATACTCTTGTAATGGTTTTAGGAACAAGATTTATAAATTATTTCACATATCTATCTGTTTGTCTATTTATTTATTTAATTTATTCATAATTTTTCCTCTTAAGTTTTATCAAAAAAGTAAATTCGTGGCTATGAATGATTAAGCTGTGTTAGAAAACCGTAAATTTTTTAGCAACCGCTGATTTCAGAATTATTGTTGCTATTGTGGAAGCTTTTCATTTCAATGTATGGGATGAAGCTCACAATCCTGCACTGAAACAAAAATCAGTTCATTTCAAAATAAATGAAACTGGAAATATATCTAGTAATAGTAAAGAGGATAGTCAAGTTGAGGATTTAATCGTTGCTCAGGTCAATAGTAACAGCAGCTTGAGAAGCAGTGCTTCATGTATATATCAAAAGATTGTTGAATATCTAATACCACAATTAAAAGACTGTGCCACGGGGAAAGTAAGTGCATGCATTACTTTTAATTTTGATTATTGTCTTGTGAGTAAATATTACTTTTTCATTTAAAAGTTATTAGACTTACCGTTTCAGCTAGTAACGAGAACTAAGCTAGCGAGGCGATTATTTCCATAGTTTTTTACCAGGTGTAAATAGAGAATTCAGTATTCAAGCAAAATCTTATAAATTGGGAAGGTAGTTATGAAGCTTTTTTCAGGACCTGACATCTCATCGAAAAGCTCATTCTTTGAAATATTATAAAGAAGATGATGAAATACGAAGAGCTCCTGTCGCGTTGGCTACAGTAAAATTGCTGCAGAAAATGCCACAGAAAGTAATGGACGATAATTTACATGGGTATTTTGCTCAATTATATCAGTTATCGAATTGTGAAAATGTCAACTTATTAACGTTTTATTTTCACTTTTTTATTTTTTGGTTTGTTGTGTAAGGATCATTGTTATCGCTGTTTCCCAAGATTTATTTTTTGTGCTAGGCAAAATATTACCGATTTCATTATGAAAAAATTTCTCAAGAAAACTTTCTCGAATTGCTGCACGCGTGTATCATTATAGCGTGGTCATCAAAATGTGCTCACTGTTGATGTCACGATCAGTAAGTGTACGAGAAGCTGCGGGAAAAACTGTTATTGAAATCACCAAAACTTTAGGCTCCAAATATATTTGTTTTATAATACGAGAAATGAAACAGACGATGACAAAAGGATACCAAGTAGAGATCTTATGATCATACGGACATGTTTATTGCTTTTTTTAATTAAAAGTTGCGTTAAGACTAATTATCAAATTTCATTTTATACTTTCAGTCATTGCACTAAAAAAATTCAAACAATACGAGCTGATTAATTGAAAAAACTTTTTCCTCCATTAAATATACCTCCATTTCAGATTCATGTGATGATTTTTTATATTCACAAGTTATTGTCTGCCATGGAATTTCAGCTTAGCACTGGGGACCTAGATTCATGCCTTATAGATATCGTCGAGGTCAGTTGAAATGAAAAGAACTTCATTATTGATGTAATGTCTAATTTTGTTATTGAATTGTATGATGAAGATTTTTCTAATTACTAGAGTTAATTATGGATGGCAGTTGAAACTTTTTTTCCGAATGAATCATGGTACGAAGATTTACTCAGTTTGATTTTAGGTATGTAATATGGATTTATTTGGTGATATCGCGGATGAGAAATCTGTTTCTGGTATTACAAAGGATGTTCCAGAAGCGAAGACACAAAGAACCTATGAGACTTATCGATTACTTGGACGATATATTAGCTCAAATTGTCTTGACTATGTTTTAGAAACCTTAAAAAAGGTTGGTTTGCCTTTTTCTTTCAAAAAAAAAATTAAAAATCAGTGATTAATATATGTGCAGGAAATCTATTTTCACCAAATCTTACACACACTTCCACTTCAAATACTGATTTTTCTCCTTAAAGTATTTTGTAAAAAATTTTTGAAGCTTCTGTAGTGAAGTATTATTTTCCTTTTTTTTTGTAAATAAATTTGCATTTGTAAACATGTCATGTCATAGTAAAATTGTTGTCATATCATCTCAGTTTTAACTGTGTCATTAGGTTGTGGAGTCTAGACCTGATACAAAAACAATGCAAAAGGTGGGACGCTTACTACGTCAGTATTCATTGGGAATATCTGCTAATGAAGGCATTGAATCCAAAGTTGCATTGGTTTTTGCATATCATATTTTGAAAAGTGAAGTGCTTGGAGTTATGAAGGAAGGTGAAAAACCGACTGAATCAGGTGCTTCAGAAACAAAAAAAAGGAGACGTGCGGAAAGTTGTCTACTTTTGGAAAAAGAACCTGGACGGTAATTGTAAAAAGTTCTGAAACCTATTTACATTGATTTCTGTTAACGCTTTCATCGTAACCAAAGAGTCAAAAAATATCTATATGCCTAATTGTATTTTTATAATGGAATTTAGATATTCTAGATGAGACTATTTTGTTATAGATGAAACTGATGTTCAAAAAACTTATTATATTGGGACAACTTTTAGGATTTGAAAGGATAGAGTAATTTCTTAACTAATTACCTTTTTATTTCTCAGATTTTCTTGAATTTTTCGTTTTTAAAATGTTATAAGTATACTGTGATAAAGGGTATTTGCACCATTTCAGCATGGGAGTGATAGTGAAAGTATCAACAAGGAGTAAAATGCATGTCTTTATTGAATTTGGCATGTGTGAACTGTATTCAGTTCTGAAAAACAAAGCTTTTGACGTTGATTCAAATAACGATATTGCACGATTAGACCCATTTGTCAACATTGTTTTGCAGTGTTTGCATTTAAAATATGATCAAGTAAGGATGTAGGAGTGAAATGTATTTCTCAATGCCACTTCATGCCATCACTTAAAGTTTAATGTTATTATTTAAAATCAATCACGGAATATGTCGTGTGCTACTTCCTGCTTATTTTTAATGCAGCAAAACAGTTATTTTGAGAATTCTCGTGAAAGAAGACGAATATTTTGATTTTATAGCAATTTTTAAAACCACTTATTAGGCATTCCTATAAAATTAAAAATTTATCTCTTATTTCAGATTCTTGTGTACTCCTTACGATGCTTCCTGATACTGCTCAAATTTCCTCTACCTTCACTCCGATCAAATATTGCGGAATTCCTTAATCGTCTGTTCATCTTGTTAGCTGATTATGCAGCTATTGGTGCATTTGGTAGCGCACACGAATATGTTCGAAAATCATCGGAGGTTTCTCAACTGTTATTCAAGGTTATCTGTTATCTTTTGTTTCATTGAAGAATACTATTTTTATCGAATCTATATTCTTTCTGAATTGTCGTTTGATGTTGAATAAATTCAGCAACACTACCCGGCATGTTTTGTTCTCAGTTCACTTTATTGTTCTCATTTTTTTTCAATAATTATTTGACAAGCATTTCATGGGAACTTAAAATCCACTCTTGCAATTCTGTGTTTGAAAATATCATTTAAAAATTTTGAAGAGTCTCACTCAAATCATCAGAGACGCTCCACATCTTGTTTTAATATCAAAACGCCTACAGTTGTTATTGACTTATGTTGAAACTGATGTAGCCGATAATCAAAAGCAAGCAGTGGCATTTCCTTTGATCAAAGCAATAATCACGCGGAAACTTCAAGATCCGAAGGTTTTCTTTTGAAACATAGCTTTTTATTTATTGAAAACTTCAAGCTTTTTCTTGTAAATATACATGTTTTTACGTTTTCGTTGGCTTATTGAAATAGAAATAGTAGCACTGATTAGCGTCTTTCGATTTCAGTCTCTTTCGTCATTATTGTTCTTTTTTTCAATAAATGGAAAATTATTCATGGAAGCTTGACATTCATTCACACCATTGTATTTCAAAGGATTGCCAGAAAAGTTTAAGTCTTACACAAACCGTCTGCAGCTTGACAAGTCTTCAGATTTTAGAAATTATAATGAGATTGGGAAGAAGTTTAATTCACTTTTCGAAATTGAAAACATCATTCGGAAAGTTGATGCTGAAAAGCTTCTTTAATTTCTGTACTGACTGATGAAACTATCCTTCAGAGAAACCGCCAAATTAATGAATTTGTTTCAGATTCCAGAAATCATTCATTATCTTTCTGAAATATCTATTATGTCAGAAATTTCGCATATCCGTGAACAGTGCCGACAAGTCAGTTTTTGTTTCGTAATTACGTTCTTATGTTACAGATTAGTTTTTTCTGCATATGAAAGTAGGTTGTCTGAATTCTTTTATTACTTGCTTCTGATAATAACTACTGATGTAACTAGTTCAAGTCATACGCATTTTTGCAGCGTATCGTTTGTTGCATATTATTTTTTCCTCATTGCGTACTCTATGCGTTTCAATGGATTTTTTTGATACTTCCAAAAATTACAGAGGAAACTAATCTAGTCCGTCAATTTTTTAAATTACTCTCTCCTTTTCTCTCGTTCAGACTGTGAAAAACAGATTTTTTCTTCTGTCCAACTTCCTGCTACTACTTTCAAATCATTGCTGTGAATACGCTCGTTTTTGGAAAACTGAAGTATCGAATTCCTTTTCAGGTAATACTCCAATACGTTGGTACTCATCCTCAAAGCAAAAAACCTGCGAAGTATATTGAATTTTTTTTGGAGCAGCTGGAATATCAGTATGAAGATGGTCGACGTTCCGCTATTGAAATGTTGAATATGCTGTTTCAAAAATTCACTGAGGTTTTTCATACATTATTTTGGAACGGGGCATGAATACTTTTCTTTTGGGATATTGATTAAATTGATGATGACTTTTGGTTTTGATTACGTTCTTGACTTGTCTACCATTGGTTTAAGAAAATGCGGTCAATAGATTATTTCAGAAGCAATTACTTCCAAAGAAATTTTCATAAATAACCTTAATTTTCAGAAGGTTAATGATGAATATGCTTTGTTTGCTTACGTTAAATTATCAGCACGTTTAATGAATGATGAAAGTAAGGAATGTCGTCGGATGGTATCTTTAGCCATTCAGCAGCTTATAAATTCTGTTTCGGGATCAAAAAGAAACGATCTTTATTTGGCCACTCAAGATTGGTTGAAAAGTAACAAGGTTAACTTTTTTCACATAATCATTGTCAAGCATAATGGAATTTAACTTTGCAAATCGATTTGAAAAATCTTTTGCTTTTGATCTTTTCTTTTTTTTCAGGAAATATATATCTGCACTGCTATGCAGTTACTCGTAATGTTCAGTAAGGATAGCGGGGAAAATATTGAAAATACATTGCGCGAATTATCACAAACACTATCTAGAATCTTTGATATAGATACGTCATATTCATGTGCTGAAGAAAATATACTGATCATTATTGATAATTTGACTTCATTGCTGCGTGCTTATAGTAATAGAATTACGCAATTCATCAAAGTTAATTTGCTGAATTCATTTTTAGGTTAGAGATCATCCTTCATATTACATTCACTATGCATAAATTTATATTGTATGTAATTTATGGTGCTACTTTAATAGATGATATTCACAAAAATATAGTTTTTCATTTAGATGCATACGATTCTGTTCTTTAGTCTTTTTCAAATATAGCGCAAAGCGTCACTTTTTTAACTTTTAAAAATTTAGGACAGCGGAATTTCAGCAATATTTTTTTGTAAGGCACGTAGTTTTAATTGTTGGCTCCGTAGATTATATATTATTTTGCGTAAAATAGGTTTGCAGTTCTGAAGTGATTTTTGTGAGAAATTTTTCAGTTGGGATAAGTTCTTTCGCCAGTTCTCAAAAATCGCCACTAATACAGCTATCTGCAGCTCAATTTTTTGGCTTCATTTTTGCTGCTGTCAGTGATGAATATTTGTTATCTATGAGTGACCCATCGCCTAGACAATTGATGCAGTGGATGTTATCGGTCATGAAGTCCTATGAACTTAACAATGCATTAGCTGAGCAGGTTAAAATATGAAAATCTAAGATTTTCACTTACATTTGAAAATGAACTAATTTTTATTTTTCTGTCTTTTTCATATGATGAGGTAACAATGAAATTGACTTTGCTAGTTTATAGAGCTGTATAGTGATTTATTCACCTTTGTCTTTCAGACAGCGAAAAATATAGTATACTTGTTTGATCCAGTTGTGCGATCGGGTGAGAATTTGGATTGGCTTGTTTCCCGATTCAAAATGATATGTAGATTTGAAATAGTTAGACTGCCTGCTGAATTCACCCGAGTCAGTCGTTTATTTCACATTAAATTTTTGTAATGGAATGATTTTGATTGTTGGAGTATTGAAATTTTTAAATTATTTTTAACTTTATTTGGCTTTTCTGACACTGCTTTTTTGTCATTAATTAGAGTTTTGAATTTTAGAGGATCAGTATTTTCAAAGTTATAGCTGCTGTTGTTCTTAAGACGGATCTTAATCAATGCAGAATCGTTATAAGATCATTATTACCTGTGCTTTATCGTGAAATGCAAGGCAGATCTACGCAGAGTATTGTTTTTGAGCAGTCATTGATATTTTTAATTGGAAAAAAGAATTAAAAAGTTGTAATATTTGATTAAGATTACTTATTTGCAAATGCTTTCAAAATCACAGTTTTATTCATAAATACGGAGTGGTATTGAGCTTTCATGCTTGAGTATTTTCTGGTTTGAAACAGCATCTTTTTTTTAAGCGAGCGAAGAATTGCGAAGGATTGCGTTAGAAGTAGTAGAAACAATTAAAAGAAAAATTGGTGAAGATGAATTTACGAAACGAATAACTGAATGCCATAGACAGTTTGATATCAGATCTCAAATGAGGAAGCGAAAACGCAAAGTTAGCCTTCTTAAACAATTATAGCATATTAGTTTTCTTTTTAAATTTGTTTTGTATGCTATTTTTGGCTTTAACAGTAGCGATCTTTCTATGCCAATTTTAGAGTTAATAATAATTATCAAAATTTATTGAATCTTTGATTCTTTCGGTGTTTCATTCATTTTTATCCACTATTACGTAATGTTTGATTATTTTGCATCAAATTTACAGGAGGACTTTGTTTTAAACCCAGTAAATGCAGCGCTCAAAAAGCAGCGAAAAAATAAAGTCAAACAAAAATTAAAGGCGAAAAAAAGGCGCATATCATGATACAGAATCTTATATTTGATTTGATCAGAGTATTTGTAAATTTCATACTTGTTTGTCATTACATCTTTTCATACTCACCTCTCGAAGTATTTTTTCTCGATTTTATGTTTGTTTGTTTTTTTGAGTTCACGAAGAAGATTAAATTTTAAATAGAATAAGTGAGAAGGGAAAAGACGAAGATATAGGTTTGTGAACAAAAGTGTATTTCATGGGCATTCAAAAGACGTATGTTTTTCTATCTTTTTGACATGGTTTTTAGTTTATTGTACTTTACTTTGAGACTGATTTTAGCATAATTTCAGTCCATATATGATAATTGCTTAATATATTGTTGAATATCACATCTAGTTTGGATTATGTATTTTTGATTATTACAATTGTGGTAAGCCCTGATAAATATCAGACATTATTTTTTTGTTTATATTGGAATGATAATTTGAAGATCCTTACTTGATTTACTTGCTGGGAATTTCGAATAAGTAAAGAATGAGATCGAACAACAAGTGTAGTGAGTGGATAAATACTAGATATTTAAAGAGACGGTGTGGTAAAGACGAGTTGAAATTGAGTGAATAATTGAAAGTGAGAGTTAATAAAATTTAAAAAACTGAAGTGCGTTGTTTCGATGTTTCAAATCGAAGTAATGAGTAATTTACCATCAGTAGAATAGTTTGATTTATTATTATTAGAGAATGTTACATTATATAAATGCTGGGAGATATCCGCATTATCTGTAATTCAATAGAAAGTAAATTTCATCTTAATTTAGTATAGAATTAAAATGAAACAAATCTGTTCTTTCGGGGATTGTAAACCAATTAGACAAAACGTCAAACGGTGTCAGCTGTCATTGATTTATTGTAATAGAACTTCACAACATTTGAAACAAGTTGTTAGCAAGAAAGATTAATTTCTTGCAGACTGCTGGTAAATGACATGATGAATGCATCTGTTTGTTTTGGGACTTGCCATCGTCATTTTCATTCCTTAATATTTTAGTGCGCTCTACAGAAACAATTTTTTAAGTCAGTAATTTAGTTTCAGTGACATAGTTATTTTATTGAATAAGGTAGGGCTGTCTCTGTTTTAGTAGGTAGAAGTATAAATTCAGCTCTCATGAGCAACTTCAGAATTTAAATGAGTACCAGAAAATTATTTCTTGGATACTGTGGCTCTGTTGACTTTATATCCATATGGTGTGGGTGGTATTGATGTAGGAACCATAATTAGTTGGAGTATAAACTGTCTGCTTTCTTTATGCTCCAAATGAAAAGATTATGTAACAAAATAAATTGGTGTGTGTGTATGGTCGGATTGCGTTCCGTGACTACTTCAAATGACAACGCGAGTGAATGAGTCTACATTTTCCAGTTTATTGGTCCTGAGATTGCAAGTTTTGTTAAGTCCTACAAGAATGTGTTTAACTTTGATAGGTCAGGTACCTGCAGTAGAGCCATTTGAAATGTTGTTGTTTGCAGATTAATTTGATCAATCAGTTTGTCTCACTCTGGATTGCATATGATTGAAACCAATTGATTAATCAATTTAATCTGTACCTAAACTGGTAAATAAGTCCAAATTTTTTCATCTGCTGATGATTGAAGTTAAAAGTTTTGTAGAATCTTATAAGAATGTGGTGAACTTTAATAAACCAAGTACCCCCTAAAGGAATCATTGAAGAGGTTAATGTAATACAGTGTAGATAGACTTTCACTGGATATCTGCAATCAGTCATGGCTGGATATTTTTTTTGCATACATAGGACAACGTAAAGTTGGTGCAAACCAGTTATGGTAAATCACAGTGAATATTTAAAAGATTCCATGAAGATGAAACAGGTTGTCAGGCCGTTTTAGTAATTAAATAAGCTTTTAGGCAAGCTGTCAAAAATTATTTAAGTGGAACAGAACGGGTTAACTTAATTGCTTGTTTAAAGCATGCAGCAAATTTATAATTTGGTGGAAGTTATGCAGCAAATTTATAATTTGGAGTGGAAGTTATGTGAAAGTTTTATGGATAAAAAGAATAATGCAGCTTGCTCTGTTCATGAAATAAAGCATTCAGGCTTCTGGTACACAAAGCTCTTCTTCCTCACTGAGGTCAAATTAATTAGCAATGAAGTGAAGAAACTGTAGACTCATTGCACTTTTTCCAGTGGTTCGAGTTTTATTATTGTTGAAAAGTTAAACATGCTAGAAACAATACCTTTTAATCATCCTTGAAATGAAGAAAAGACAAGGTTTCTTGCGATAAATTACCTTAGACCTACTGAAGCTGTTACGATGTTCTGAACTGCAGTGTGGAATTCCAATGAGGATAGAATTTCTGACAGGATAAACATCTACTTATGCTTTCATACGTATGCATCAGAACTTACATTTCTGCGCATTAGGAGAGTGTAATCGAAATGCACGAATTCATGTGCATTTCGATTACACTCTCCTATTCCTAAGAATATGTTCACGTAATTTCTGCTAGTAACGTAATTAATGGTAAGTAGCATAAGAAAAAATTAAGAAATGGCTGTCTCGTAAGCTCATTCACTTCTATTTGATTACGCTTTAAGCCATAAAAGTGAAACCAGCATCATAAATTAAGTATTTAGACTGATGGCATAGTCACTTTCGTGTAGTGTAATTTAAAATTTACTGGAATAAAGCAAAAATGGAATTTACCTAAGGATATACAACGTTTATTTCGTAATGTTTTGCATTATTTTTCTGAAATTGCTAATAATAATATGCGAGGGAATTTTGAAAATTCCGGTTTTTGTATGATCAGAAAAAAGGTTTAAAAGTAAAAATGCTAAAAAGTAAAGATATAGAAAAGGAGAAGGTAGGAGGATGCTAAGGGAATGCAAGCAAATGATGTGGTATAAAAATGATCAAGTTCTCTTGCTTTCAGATCAAATTACAATTTGATTCCACAAAATCTCAAAAGGACGCATAAATTTACGTATCACTTTGATATAATAAAATTAAAAAGTAAGATAGAAACTTATTGTATTATTTAATAAATTTGAATTGCAAACATCCAAAGTCTTCACTCACTATTATTTGAGCTAGTTCACGAAGAAAAATGGCAGTGTTATGTTGGCGTTTCCTCTACTTTCTACACAGTTGATCGCAGTAAAAAATGAAGTATTCTTAAGATATATGCAAATTTTATTTGGAGTTAATAGTATTAATAATAATGGAATTTTGCGAAAAAAGAAAAAGACTAAGGAGAAGAAAGCAGAGTATGTGAAGTAAAACTGGTGAATGCAGAGGAAACCTTTCCTCTTTCACTTACAGTATCGAAAGTGGAGAAAGTAAGTCCCGATGATTAAGTAAGTAAAAGTATGTCTGTACTAGCAAAGAAGCTAGTAACATATTTCTAATTAATTCTTCACTAATTTTAAGTGTTCAAATTTCATATTCGTAGCAAATTTCTTTATTACAAGTGATTTACAATCTGTGTACATCTACCAATGATCTCTTGACTTGTAATACATCTGAAACTAACGTAACAATTCAAAAAATAAGAATGAGAAACCCAAAGCTCTCAATGGGGTAATAAACTTATTTTTGCTCTATCTCGAATTTCCTTAAATTTTTCTCATTCTGAAAAGTTTGATTGAGCTGAAGCGTCGTTTTTTTGCATTATAAAGAAAAAAATTTTTGGCTGGTCTCATAACACAAATATAAAGATAATTATGTCTTCTCTAACCTTAATATTTAAAAATGAATTTTAAAAGTCATAACAATTTCAAAAGCAAGTATTATTCTTGCTAGCAAGCTGACATTTCCGGCTATAAAAAGTTATATGCAATCAAATTTCCTATAAATATTGTCGTCTTCATCATTCGTTTTCTATTATAGCATTTGTTACTATGAATGACAATTACTTTTTATAGTATATCTTGTAATTCCAATGGTACTAAAATATTTATTTTTGATGATACATGGCTTTCTTATGTAAAAGAATAAATTGCAGTATTTGATAAATTCATTATTATTCGTCACGTCATTCAAAATCGTGATGTTTATGCAGAATTTCATTTCCAAGTACAATGAATCAAAGACTATCTCAAGGATGGAAATGACTACAGTTATTTTTAGGTAGTGATATTAAATCTGATGCTCTCATTTTCATCAAATATTTTTATAGCATTATTGTATTCTTTCATATTTATTCAAACTGGTAAAAGCGACTTTTTAAGCATTGTAAGTTGGGCTTTTTTTTTGCATTCTCTAGTCAAAATCAGTAATTTTTATGGATTTCAAGTAGATTCATTTAAACAATTTTAAATTTTAACATAAATTCAATCAATTATTTTTGTCTACTTCATTTCAAAATCACTATTAATGTGTAATAATTCTTGTTAAAATGTTACTGATTAAAGGAATATATGAAATTTTCGGTGTATCTTTTTAAAATCTTTTACCAAAAATGACAAGTTGTCATTTTAGATGAAATTTTTGTCAAAAATTAATCTTACAAATTTTTTCAGTACAGTACCAAAATTGATCGAATTTCAACATTGCTAAAAAAATCGGTGTTACGATTTCTCGCAAAATGAATCGCTGCTTTCAAATACTCAAATAAATATATTAAAAAAAAGTCATAATGCAAAAAAAAATTGGTTGGCCACAATATTTCAGCGCTCTTAGGATAAGAACAATTCATAAATATGGATGGATATCATGTTTTAGATCAGTTATAGTTTTAAGTTGTCGCCTACAACTCTAATGAATTTCTTTAGGATCTACATCAACGTGATACAATAGTTAAACAGTTTATTTTCAGTTAATCATAGCACCTTGGTTATACGTAGAAATATTTTGGTAACAATGAAATGCCATTGTTTTGTTCGGAATTTTTCAAAAAGAACTGAAATATTTTTAGGAATTAGACTTTCTTACATTTTAAGTACACATTTGCATTTAATAGTCAAATTTAGTCATGTTTATGTTTGAAGAAATACTGATAGTTCTTTAGTTTTCGCGAGAAAGCGTGAGGATTCTGCAGCAAGCGACATCATTCAACAAGACAATACGACAGTGTTCTTGCATTGAAGAAAGTATCTGCTTAAAAGTTTTTCAGTCTAAACTGCAAAGATGTTCTAACAAGTGTTGGAATAATCAAGTCAATAAGATCTTTCCATATTTGCAATGATTTTATTTAATAAAAGCAAATGCTTATTCAGAATCACTCGCTATATTTAAGCACAGACATAATGATAGGCAATAATTCATTTTCAGTGAATCCTATTTCTAATAATCTTAGCACTTTTAAATGCTAATTTTACTATTTCTGAACACTTGATTCTTCAACACTTTGGTAATACCAAGCAAATGCAACATTTACTAGTATTCTTGAAAAAAATTAATGAAGTATAGTTCTAAAGAATGGTTAAGTATTTTAAGTATTTTTAAGATAACAACGAAACCAAATTACTTGTTGCAATGTTTGGTGGATCGAAAACCCACAGCTAAACGCTTCTTTTTTTGCCTCAAATCGAATATTCAATCGTTTGTTTTTGTTCTCAAAAATTTTTTGACTTTTTCGATTTCAATTAAATTTCCAATACAAAGCTTTTTTTTTTCAAACCTGACAAAATTTCAATTAGTTTTGAATTGAAGAATCTAAAGCCAATTGAAAAATTATTATTAAAAGAATATTTTTCACAATGAAAACAGTACTGGTCAGTCATACAAACCGAAATCATTAATTATTAATGATTTATACTCCAAATTGTTGCAGACTGAACCTGAATTCATTTATTTTATACAAGTTCATTTTAGATGCGTTGCAACAAAAAATTGACTACAAATTTCTAAGCAAGATTTTCACAAAGTTATTTCCTTAGCAGTGAGGAAGTTTGAGGAATCAAAAAATAAAATTATGCACAATACCGCTTTAGAACCAATAAGAAGTCTTTTAGACTTTGCTTTGGATCTTTGCACGTGCGTGAAAGACTGCTTTGTAGAAGGAAATCCTAGCAGTAATGTCTGTTTTCAAGAGTTTAAGTCAATTATTTAAGCTTAATGATTTCATTTTCTCCATGATTTTTGATATTTTTGAACAATTTCTTTTTCACATCAGTACTTCATTCTCTATATTGAGGATTTTGCCAAAATTAGTCTTCAATGATCAATTAAAACAAAAATGAATTAAAATGAATTTTTAAGAAATTTCATAATTATTGGTACTTTTATGTATTTGTATTATTTTGTAACTTTTTACAATTTTATGATAGATAAATCCATTTCGGAATAAGACTATACAGTATTAAGTTAGAATATCAAGAAGGATACCAACGATAAGTGATGTTTTAGATGTCAACCTCTAATTGAAATAAATCGCGCATGCAAAACAATTTCGAAGTGCATCAAAAATGCAAATTTGAGAAGAGCTGATGGAGAAGTTTGTCAGTGTTCTATTAATGCGGATGTTAGGTAAAATGCTCTATTACATAACTATTAACATACAACCATATTTTTGACAGAAAATCTGAAATCACTCACTGATTACTTTATTACTTTTCACTTTTCGAGATCGAACCCTTCCATTTCATTCAATTTGCTCTCAATAAAAACGAAAATTGATATGACTGAGAAGGGTTAAAAATTGAAAAAGAGTTTTTTATCGCGATTATGACACGACACCATAAATTTTATTTTCTCGGAAAATTCTTCTTACCCACAGTAATCATATACATCCATAATTAATAATTGTGATGGACAGCAATTATTATTATCTCTCTGATCTTTGTGTGTAGTAAGTAAGAAAAAAATTTATAAGCTGTAAGCAAGCATAGCAGCAGTATAATTCTGTGTTTAAATCTTAATATTTGATATAGATTTCAGTAGTTTAAACGGTATCTGCCAATTACTCGCTTCATTAAGGAGTGAAACTGAAAACCATGATTCTAAAAAACATTCATAATGCATTTTATGAGCTAAGACAAAATGCAGTCTGATATTATCTGTTCGGACTAGATAATTTGTTCAATTCGTGTCATAACTATCAAAATTTCCATTCATTCCAAGCTATGATTTCTTGTAATAGTGATCGATCTTTTTCGCATAATATGCAGAATAAAATTTGGCTTGCCACTCCACAGCAGTCTGTTTTGATTTTTTAGAAGATTTTAACTTTTTTTTGTCTAATTCCTTTCCCTTGCAAATATTACGTCTCCAATTATTTTCAATATCAATATCAATGTAAATATGAATAAAAATCTGAAGTTGATAGTAATAATAATAAAGATATTAAAAATGTAATATTAATAGTGATAACAATATACAGGGATAACCATACGATAATAATTATATGATATTAACAATGATAATAATAATAAGTAATTAATAATAATAGTAAATAACAGCAATAAATAATAGCAAATGGTAATTAAAATAATTGTAATTACGATCATAGAGATAATTATCATTGTTATTACAGTAATATGATAGTATAAATAACAAATGTAATGAATCATCAACAGCTGTAGTAATTTATTTATATGATTATTAGTAGACTCGTTCAGATCAATTAATTGAAATTTTGTGCGGTTACCTGAAATATCTTTTATCTATGATTAATCGCACGATTGCGTCTTTGAAAGCTAAAAAAATCTAAATTACTATAAAACCTGAAAATTCATTACATTTCTTTAGCACATTTTCGGAAATTTTATAACAAATTAAGACAAAAAATGTGTCGTTACTGAAATTGATACGATGTTGTTGAACATAAATGCGATTGTGCTGTGTTTTAAAATTGGACGTTATTTTTTGCAGCTTCTGCTCATTATTACTTATTTTCTGATAATAGTGTTGATGAAAAAATAATAGTCTTGCAAATTTTATGAAAGGATAGTTAAAAAAATGTTAATATTGATACTAGTATTGCTATTAATACTGGTGTCAACCAGCAAAAAAACATCGACAAAATTAAAAGATATCTGCAGTTTTAAATATTGCAAATAGTATTTTATTAATGTAATTGGATTCATATTTATCTTTATTCTGAATCAGTCATCTTTAAGGTATGCGTATCATTAGTGATTCACCATGTCAGCTATTTGGATTAATGTAAGAAAATAGCTCTCAAGTTTATTTCTCACTCTTTACTGTAGATGCTACGTTCCAAAAAAGCTTGGATTCTTTTCAGTACTGCCAAATTTTTTGAATCCATTTTGGTCAAAATAGCGAAAACTCATTCATGACATTGATATTACCGTTTAGATTTGACAAAAGTTTTTTGTTGAGTAAATTTATTACATTATTGTTGAGACCTGTTTTTTTACATGTTAAGACTGTAGTTAAGTTAAATTTGAATTTTAAAAGAGTTTACTTCTGACCACGAAAGTCAAATAAAATCTAAACTTTAACTTTGAATGCATCGAATTTGAGAGTTATTCGATTTTCCGGCAAACAATCTCATGAAACAAAATATTTGTCTTGTTCAATTATGATTCAAATTTCACTTCATATTTTATTAATATGTATTTATCATTATTTAAGAATATATTCAGCAATTGTTGGAGATAAAAAAGTTTTGTTTGCTTTTCCTAGAAAAGTTTGCAAGTCAAAATAAAAATTACATTAATGTCTTATCTGGGCTGTTGAAATGTATAATATATAAGTAATGAATACATTTGGGAGTAATAATTCATTTATCGTATTATATATTTATCAAAAGTAATTGTCTGAAATGTATTTTTTTCTTTCCTAGAGAAGCTTATTGAGACAAAAGTGCAATTCAAAATAGTATTCGGTTATCAAAAATAAGTAAATCAGGAAGAGACATAAAGAAGGAATTTGACTTATTTGCATGCAAATATATTCAGTATAATCGGTTTTCAGGTGCATATTACCGTACTACTTTCATTGTCGTTCCTTCAGTTTGCTACATTCTAATTTACTCTTAACATCGCATCTTAAGATGCAATGTAAGCTTTATCGATTAAAATCAAATTTATGATCTTGAAATACTATTTGAAAGATTGTGCCATACCAAACACTTTTTTATGTTATTAATTTTCATGAAATTAAAAAGAAATTCGGTTGCACTAAACGGAAAATTGCATTTGCGAAATATTTTGTTATTGTATGTCATTTAAGATAGTTTAAACTGTACATATTCAAAACGAACTGAATAACTGCAATCAAAAATAGAAAGGAAGGATACATTAAAGCATAATACTCAGTACATTGCATAGAGTAGCAAAGTAGAACAAACAGGTTCGAAATTGCACAATCACGTGAAAGAACAGATGCAAACAATAATTGAAAATAAACTGCAAGACTTTAGGAATAATTTGAGTAATATACAATATACAAATAATAAAAATCATCACCTGAACTAGCCAAAATGAAAGGAGATCTCATAGGGTCATCACAAATATTTTATATCAACAATCTTGTCATAGCGCTTACTTATACTACGATTTCGTCCATCCAAATCTTTTTTCGTTAAACTTTGCATCAATCTTTTATTATTTTTTGAAAATGTTCGCTGCAGCTGAAAATGATTAAGATGAATTCTTTCTTATTCCTCTTAATCTGCAGTAACTATAATAAAAGCTTGTGAGTGTTCAACTGTTCAATATCAAAGATTCTGATTCCATGTTTTGTTTCCAGCATTTTGCAAATATTTTCTACGAAATCCAGAACTTAAGAAGGAAAAAGATTAAAATTTTCTGGAACTGATTACTTCTAGAGGCAATTTATTAGCTGTTTGTGATAGAGCTGAACGATACATTGGCGTAAACTGCACGCTATTTGAATTTATTACTCCTTCCTCGATCATTATTTGACCTGAAATATCGCTTTATGAGTTATAGTTACCATTATTGATAATATGTGAGCAATAATGGCATGCAAATGTTGAAGGATTTTTTCAATTAAATTTTGTAAGCTACATCACTGAACAAAAAATAAAATCAAACTAGTATTCCTATGTATTCTTGACTTTTTGGTTATTACTTTAAGTTGAGTTCATGCAAATGCTTTTCCTAGCAAATTTGCCATCTTAGCAGAAATTGAAAAAAATTTTTGAATCATAGCACAGTGATAATGATCAATATGTTGATCAAGAATTAATCCATATAATTTGTAAATGATAATTACACACCCAAATTACTTGAAGTGATAAGTGCCACCGATGGTTTTCCATTCAGATTCGAGCCAACCGTAAGAAAGCCATAATGAATATGCTGGTCTAATGGGTCATTTTTGTTGATTGCAATTGATCTAAAAAATTTTCATTTTAATCATAGCGAAGCTTTACTTTTGCTACAAAAAAAAATGAAGGAAAGCAGCTGCAAACTTACGTAAAATTGATGCTTGGCTTTCCAAACATCAATACATCAGCAACAGTAATTGCCAAAATTTCGGTATATGATACTCCGTTGAAATCTGTCACATAATCCACAGTTCGCGTACGTGAACCTAGTGCAAAAACGGCAAAATCACCTTACAAATTCACACCAAAATACGATTCATATTAAACTAAATCAAGTAATTCTTGACCAATTCAAAATTACCCACTTCTGAAACTCATCAGTGTGACATTTAGAGGAACTCAATCATATTATAAATCATCAGTTGATAAGCCACTAACCTTGAGTACTGGCGTAGTTTTGTAAAGAAGAGAGTATACAAAAAATTTAGTAATTAAGTACTAAAAAGCTATTACATTCTATAGAATGTATTACTTACCATTGTAGTTTTTTAATCGTTAAAACTTACCATTTACTTCAGCTTTCCATATACCGATCATCCAAGCTAAAGGAAGTAAAATTGGAGCCAAAGGCTTTGTCGGTAATGCTGAAAAGCAAAAACACAACTGAATGATGAACCTCATACAATAAATACACTTGCAAGTCAACTAATTAACTTCTTTTAACTAATCAACATTTATTTTACTTCATACATGCACTGCTTGCAAGATACAGTACACTTGCTAAATCTTATTTTCTAAATAATGCTTATATTTGAGAGTTGAAAATCCCAGTAATTATGATTTTTGGGCTGTCACATGGTTCGCTGAATCACTTATTTCTTGGCAGTTTTAATTATTGAATGTTAAAAGCAAAGATAAGCACCTGTTTTATTTACATACATACATTGCTTGCAAGATAAGGCGCAGTTAACGTCGAAAAATCGAGTATGATGGCGCATTTGCTCACACTGACCCTGATTCTTCCACTGCACACAGCTTCGATAAATATCTTGGCACGGTCCTTAATTACTTTATTATAATTAGACTTTAGTTGTTTTTTATTTTCTAAACTTATTTCCTGGCTTATTTATCTCTTATTAATTATAAAAGTTGACTGCCAGATTGAAATTAAACACTATACAAATTAGTCACTATTATTAAAGTAAAATGTCGTACTAAAAATGATAGCTGTGGTTTTTGTTCTAAATAAAGTATAATGTGCAGCTTAAAAACTGACGATCGCAATCTTTGCCCATCCAACCAGGCTGACACACACATGTATAGTCGTTCCACCCATCAATACATTTTGCACCATTTTTGCAACGTCGAAAATTGCATTCGTCAATTTCTACATTTAATGAAATGTTATTAGAAAATGAGATTTCTTATACAAAACGGTATAAAATAATTAGGAAGATCGAGTTACTTGCGCAATATGTCGTAAATTGCTGAAATGAAATCAAAGTAGACCAGATCAAATAAATTAGTGCTAAATCGACCACGTTAACTTGCGTGTCGATCAGATCAGCATGTGAACCGCACATTACTTTACAAAAATAACTTCAGCTAAAAATTGTAAGCCATAAAAATGTAAAATAGCTTAGCAATATTCACCGCGTTCACAGTATCTGCCAGAGGCTCCAGGTGGGCAATTGCAACCTAATTCACCGTTGCTTTTTTCTATGCAGGTGCCATTCCTCTTGCATAAATTCGGATCACACTTTCCTACAATAGTTACTCACACAGAAGTTTTTAACAAAATACAGTAAAGTGCTTAGTTTTTTAATTTTTAATAATAATAATAATAATAATAATAATAATAATAATAATAATAATATAAATAATAATAATAATAATAATAATAATAATAATAATAATAATAATAATAATACGTAGGAGTAGTAGTAGTAGCACTATTATTAACATTTCCGATCTTAACAATATCGTCCATTGAAATAAAGAATAAAAATAATTAATAATATTATTAATTAAATGTTTATGAACAAATTATATGAGAATTATTGTGGTATTTTGTTTTTGTTTCCTGCAGCTAGTCACTTTTGAAATTTTTATCCAGTTAAAGCCAAATATATCTCTAATAGTTGTGAAAAAGTAATAATTATTAGTATTCAAATGAAATGCACTAAATGGGACGTAAAAATTCATAACTGTAGAAAATCGGAAAGAAAATGATTGGTTGAAATCAACTTATTCTAAGATGCATAACCCGTTGCCGATTCAAGACTTCAGAAGTAGTCGCAAAAGTTATTCATGGAACATTATAAAAATCAGTGTAATGTCAATAAAAAATAAAGAGATAGTGTTATTTTTTGATAACTGACACTTTTTAAAGTGAAACTCTTAAATTTAAAGTTTTTTTCAGTCATTATTTCCTAATTTAAGTGCTATTCGATTTATAATAGTAGTTATCGATACAGCTTCAGTCTAAGTACTGATACTGATCTGGATCAAAAAATTCCATGAATTTGCCAAGTCAGTATTGGTAAAATCTGCAGGTAAATGCTACTTTGACAATTTATGTAGTAAATCGATAGCATTTTTAGTGAAAATTATGGAATTTATGAGATTGACTGTTCGCAATAAGCAAAAGTTGAAAAGTTTTGTTGCATAAATAATAGAATGATATCGCATAAATCATTATAAAATGTTATATCTACGGCCTATGACTTTCATTACACAGTTACTACTATTGAAATTACAAAATTACATATAATCCTAAACATATCAACTTAAATAACTGAGATTATGAAAGTATCTATGAGAACTTATGAATTAAATGCAATAGATGAAAAACAACTGTAAGTGTTGTCAATTTAATGACATTAACGAAACATAAAAACGCACGTGTACAAAACCTTCCGACGTAGTTTTTCCAACATGAACACTTATATGAATCTTCCAAGTTTATGCATTCACCTGATAGACAACTATGTCCAATGCACCGATCTTTAACTGGAAAATAAAAGAGCGAATAAAGCTTTAAAGACCAAATGTCGTACTTCACATCATGCTCTTAATTTTTAAAAAAAAGGATAAAAAACAAAGTTCATATTTTGCTTCTATGAATTGATTTAAACAAATAAAATAAATCCATTACAAACTTCCAGTGATATGATAATTATGGTCAAATGATGTTTATGTCTTACAAACAGTGAAATGAAACAGTTTTCTTCACATCTGTAAAAATACTTTACTTTTCTAAAATTGCTAATTGCAATGAATGCCAAATATTTTAGGACACAAACTTTGACAAAATGGACCCGTCCATCCTTCTTTGCATATACAAATAAAACCCATTTTAACGGTGCTGTTTAAACGGCACTGACCATTATTCTGGCATGGATTTTCGCGACAATTATCTGCAAGTAACAATTAATTTGCTTGTAATTGAGATTACCTGGAAGTAATCAGTTTTTTTATTAACATATAAATCATAAAGTTCAGTTAATACTTTTTAAAAACTTGTGTATCTAGAATGAATGAGTCTGTTCACAAAATCGTATATTCTTTCAAAAGAATTGTCTATTCAAAATTAAGCACCAAAATTGATAAAATGAAAAGGTGAATAAAAATATCGAAAGCAAAAAGGTGCTTAATGATGACCTAGCTAGCTAGTATAAATAATAAATGCACAGGCCAATGAGGATGACATTGAAGGTACGTGTGTGTACTTGAGTTGCACGCATAATTGTGAGAGATAACAATGATTGTAGTATAAGTAGTCAATCAAAAAGATTATATATATTTTATAATTGAAAATTAAAACTTTAACTGTGTATAAAAATGCAAGCAACCTATTCGTAAAGTTTTTGTTTTGACTGCTATTTCATTGTTTAGATTTGTCAAGGCGACTCTCGAAAAGCGACCATCATAAACGTGTTCAATTTCATTGCCATCTCCTTCTCTTGAATGCCAAGATGCAGTAGTGATTTGAACTTCAGGAAAGTCAGCATTAGTGACTGCTTCTGATTCCCAGAGTGGAGTTGGGAATTCATCAAGTAGTCCTAAGACCGTTGCTTGATGTGTTCCTTCGCCTAATTTGTTTTCTAATACATTTTCAGGTTGATAGGCTGCATCTCGCAAAGGTTCAGAAGCATCCCTTTAAGGAAGAGGAACAATTTTAATTAAGTCAGTTTTTGAAGAATTAAATAAAAGGCTGCACTCATTTATTACTTGTTGGTAACTCAAAACTTTATCCAATCCAGTCATCGTATGATTCAAACCTACTTGTTATCTTTGTCTTTGCTTACTTATAATAGCTCACCATCTCTAAATAATAATATTCAATATGGATAATTCGTGTCATTGTAATTCCACATTAGCTTTAAAAAATTTTTGATTTCGAAAGTTTTCATTTTTTTTAGTTTTCATTTTCTTGATTTCGCATGGTTTTTGTTTTGACTGGTATTTCACTGTTTGATTATTTTGATAAATGATTTTGAATAAGTGATAAGAAAATTGTTACTTGAGGGTTTCAAAATTGAAAAATTAACAGTTTCTTGAGCAAACAGTGAATCGATTACCTTCTTAAAGCGTTTAGTTCTTGAACTGTGAATTTGTTCTCAGTAAGAAGCTGCTGTCCAAGGGTAAAGTTTCTATCAGTTTTATTGGTTTTCGAAGTTAACGTAATTTTTTTTTGGTTGTCAAGGCCTTGTTGTTTTACTGAAAGATAACTAATTTAATTTTAATCTGAAGATTTTGTTCTATTCAAATATGCAAAATTTAGTATTGAATTCAAGCAAAAGCCTATTTACACTTATCAATTAACTTTCATACAAACTGAAAATTATTACATTTTCAAATGTATGTCAATTTCAAAAGTAAAAAACTGTCGTCCACATTAATATCGAAATCTTATTTGAATTTAACAACTTTATATGCTTCTTGGCTTTTAAGAAAGAAAGTTTTACTCACTTTCAACTTCAAATATAATTTGCAAATTTTCTTAACAAATACTTAAAAAAGCTAATTTAGACTCAGTTTTGCAATTCAGTAAAGGAAAAATAACCAAGGCGTTCAATAGCTGTCTTTTCATCCGTAAATACCTCCTTGATAACGTTCAAGTGCTTATCTTTCCAAGTAATAGGCATGATAAAACCACTTTCTGGTCGCCATCTCTCCCAATAAATCTCGTCTTCTTCCGCAATTGTTAACCTAAAACGATAACTGGTTTGCTGAATATCAGTGCTTCAATTTTAATATCTATTTTTTAATATCTACCAATCTGAATCGGAATTCATTCTACTGTCTATGCTAAAAAACAATGATAATTCTGGCACAAAAAATCAGGGTTATGCACGAACAAAGTTTAAAATTTATGAAATGTTAATAGACTTGAAAAATGATTGGTTCATTTCCAACTTATTGGAAGCTAATCATAAGTTTGCTTTCAGAAGAGATATTTTGTTTTCTGTGATTGCTTTTTCTAGAAATAATAACGGTCATTAATTTTTTGAGTGAAATTAAGTACTAAAATTTGCTTTGTCTGCATGCGAAAAATAATAAAGAACTGTGCTTTACCGTAGTATAAAAATTGTTTAATGTCAACAACAAATGACTTGTTATGAATTAATTAAGAATAATTATCGCTGTATAATTAAACACAAAACTTTACATGAACTGGACAGGGCCAATATCATTGTCAGCAATCCAGTCGAGTTGAGCAATAAACTTCTTAGAATCATCACTATGTGTCACGGAATCATCCCAGCCAGTTCCATGTAGATGACAATTTTGCATACGAATACCAAATGTTTCCCAAGTTTTACTTTCGATAAATCGACCCGCTTTTAATGAACCAAGTAAAAAACCATTCTCGTTTGTTAATCGTCCTTGAAGCAATATACCGCGAAAGTGTATAAAACCAATCAAACGAACTGCAAATTAAAACCTCTACTGTTTGGAAGCCTTCGCAAACTTCTAATATCCAAAAACAAATTATTTTTATAATAATATTTCACAATGTTAATCTCTAAGATTCACTATCACATTTCTGTTTTGGATTGTTGAAATGTTTTCGTTCTAATTCTCAGTTGAAATAATTTTTTCACTGAAACCAAAAAGCCAAAACACTTTATTCATTTTTTTCAAATATTTTTTATCCAATTATTTTCAAAAAGATTATTCAAGTGATCAGCTAATCTTTATTTTCCTGAAGCATTTCGAAACTTACTAGTATATGTTTTCCCTGGCTCATAGTATTGAGTATCATGACCTTTTGAATCCAAAAATCGAAATTCAAAAGGTGGAGGAGTTCTTTGTGGCTTGCCGTGTATTTCTCGATTCATACGCATTGAATGACGCATCATGCAGTGAAAACCGCTGAATTCAGTCAGAGCAGCCTCATGATATTTCCATAAACCAATTGTAATCAAGAAGAATAACATTATGACTAAATAAACTCTAGATGATAGTTTGGCAAGTGTTTAAAACCTTTAAAAAACGCTGCCATTTGCTTGACGATAGATGAAACTGGTGTCAGCATCATGCCAGAGAGCTATCGAAGAAAGTTATAAGTCATAAGCAAATTCAAAATTTTTGAAGCTATTATAACTTTCATCTAAGACTTACTGTTACCAGCAAAGAATGTTATTAATAAGCAACTTTTGTAATTAAAAACCCACAAATTCGACTGAAAGGAAGCTGAATGATAAGCTGTCAACCGTTAGCGACAAATTATATAAATAGAGTCATGAAAGATATGATTTCTGATCACAGATCTAAGAATGTAAAAGCTTGCCTAAATCAAGAGCATTTGATTGTTTTACAAACAGAAAACTGTGTTAGAGCTTGCATATGCTTATTTAATTTGCATTGATTCAAATATTTACTTTCAATAATCATATAGTTTGGTGCTGAGATAAGTCAGTAATTATGATATACAGTGCTTTGATGAATTCAGTCTAATATTTCAAATTTACTTTTGACAAATTAATGAGCTAAAGAGTTTGCCACCAATAATTAATTAACATAAAAAATAAGTTAAACAAAGATTGATTTCATAGAATTGTACTAATAAAACAATAAATGATTTAGTTATAAATGGCAATTCTAAATGAACAAAATTTTTAAAGAAAAAATTTTAGAGATTCATTTCTGCACTGTCAAATACATTTGCTGAATTACTGAATATGACGCTGGGATTCTTTTCGATATTATTTTCGTGATTTATCTAAATATTCAAATCTTCAAATATTGACTTCCATTAATTCACTACTGCAGTAGATGTCATTTTCACTTTTATTTTCACTTCTACAGCAATGATTGCAACTGTTACACACATTTTATGTTAATAATAATAGATTTTTTTTAACTGCTACTGAATATATGTATTTCATAATATTATTATAAAAATCGCATAAATTGTTAAGTGAATAAAATTTTGTTCAAATATTGCATTAATATATTTAACTTATTCTTAAAAGAATGGAATCTTTATAATAAGTATTTTAACTTATTCTTAATAAGATTAAAATTTTTCACAGTAATGTCTATTAAACGATCCAAATGATAACTGCATTGTCCCTAGATCATTTAATCATTTGATTGATCATTTGATTAAATAATCTGATAATAAAGTAGTTATCATTTGGATCGTTCAATGGTAAGTAAATCACAAACGATACAACCATTATTTTAGAAAAAATAAAATAAGAAAACCATTGCTGCTATTCACTCACCAGTAAATTCGACGATGTCTTTGGTGAAAAGTTTGCTTTTACACGAATATTTCACTATTAGTTAAAATTTAGATACTCAAATACTTCAAAAATTAATGAGTTACCTACATACCAATACCACAAAAGAGAAAAATTTGCTGGATAAATTATAGTGGGATAATATGAACGATTGAAAGTCAGTAAAAAATTAAATTTAGTTGTAGTGATTTGGGTTAAATTCAGCTGCTAATTGTCATTGTTGGCAGTACATTTTTTCAAACTAAAATTTAGTTTAGTGCAATTTTTTGAAAGAAATGTTGAGTTTTCTTAAAAATCATTTCTGTAGTCACAATTCTTTCAAATTTATGCACCATTATCAAAAATTATCGTCGGTTCAAAAAATAAAGATGATTTTTGAAAGATTCCGTGAGAAGGATTCTGGTATATTTATATACCAAATTATGCGTCACTAATTGAAATTTAAGTCAAAGAAGGTCATATCCTGTGAGTCGTGTTTCCTAAATTTTTCCTATTGAAAGGTCAAAAAAGGAGAGATCAAACGGGGATTGAAAATGATTTCAGCGAGGTGGAAAAAGAAGAAAGATTGAAAAGGAAGATTTGGGATCAGGTCGAATGAGGTCATTTTGGGTCAATGGCGAATTGCGCCACTACATGAAGAACAATTACAAATTAATCATGGTATCAATCTTTAGAATAAACAAAGAAACATTTGGAGACTTCCGATTAGTAACTTATTTTTATTTTCCGATATGCAACAATCAATTTCTAAAGTTTTAATGAAACACAATCAGATTGAGCTTAGTTTCCACGAAACGGTAGAAAGAAATTTTTTAAGGATACAAGTTAATATGAATTTATGCTTGTATTTGTTTTTCGCATACGAGAAATGTCATTTTACTTATCAATGAGACAGGGTAAATTATATTTAAAAAACCACTTAAAATTTAAGACAAACAGAATGGTGCTCTATGACTGCAAAAAAATGTGAATTCTTCTTCACAGTTGGATACTACACTATGTGATTATGTGCTTTGAGGCATAGACTAAAGCAGTACACTTTGGAAAGTGAGACAAAGTTTTCCTAGAAGCCTGAAGCAAACGAAAGTTAATGGTATAGTGAGCTAAGATTAAGAGATTGTTTCGGTGCCAGATTTGGATAATAATTATTGTTGAAAAATTCGCTATTTATAGTGCTAGCGTAAGCGGTTTTTGCATGATCCTATATGCTATTTTAAGTGTGCAGTGAATGCTTTATCTCTCACCTTTTATCTACTTATTGGATTAGGTTAAATGAAAATAGAAAGTAAAAATATGAAAAGGAAGTTTTATTCCAGGAGAAAGGTAATTTGCGCATATTTGTTGTGATGTACTACTACAAGTAATTCAATCCTTTTATACACAAAGGTAAGAGGAAGAGAATTTGGAAATTATGTTCCACTCTATGAATTATAAAAGCCGGAAGAAGCATTTGGTCGCTACGAGAAGCACTTCAGAAATAACGAAAACGGAATTGCGTTTAACTGGTTTCAAAATACTAACACTTCCTCAGTAGTAGGATAATGACGATAATCATAAAAGCAATTATCTTAGCATTGATAATGATATCAACAATTATTACTGTGATAGCAGTAATGACAACATAGTAAAAAAGCTAGTGATGCTAATTTTTCCTAATAATAACAACATGGTAGACACAAAAAGGCAACTGTTGAATATAAAAAGATTGATGTTGAATCAAAAACTTGTTGCGATTCATTTTAAGAGAACCAGTGATGGTGGAAGAAAAACAGGAGTTGAAGGATAGGTAGAAGATGAATTCAGGTCATCTCGAAACCACGTATTACTTATCTGTAGTATTGTAGTAGAAAAAATTGACATTTTAAGCAAAATTTATTTTTACTTAGTCAAATGACCAATTTGCACTTTTTTCGTGCTCATATTGTCAACTTAAATGATTCAACAATGCAAGGTTTCTCTTTTTTTCCAATATTGACTTTTATTAATTGTTTAATTTTATCACTGACTTAACTTGATTTTGTGCTAATAATTCTTCTGATCAAATATTATTGCCCAAGGGAAAATGGTTTTCTACAACTTCAATTACTATTATTCACCAAGGGCAAACTTTTAGATTAGAGAAACCTGTTCATTTCCAATGTGGGCCGTTACTTTTTGAATGGTAATATCCTTAGGGTATATCAACAATGACTAACTTACTTTCACTCAAATTTCACTGGTTTGTGCATACTGTTAGCAACTTTTTGAATGGTACTTAATTAGGTCATTTTACAAAAATTTTATTTTCTAATTCACGATTTATTTTTTTGCTGACATCTTACAGGAGCTTTTGTTCACATGTTATTGTTTCAAGTTTTTATTTCCCACCACCAGAAGTCAATTTATTTTTTCATAATTTCTGTTTCATTAATATAATTTTTCTTATTTTAAATATCAAGCAGTTATTAAAATCAAAGCATTCACGTGTTCAGATCAGAGAGATGTTTTAAATAAACAAAATAATTATTATAAAATCAAGTTAACGATTGCTAGCAAAGGAAATGTATATTGTGTGCTATATTGGAAGTTGCTGCCGTAAAGATATTTTAAATTCAAAACAAAATTTGATATAAACTCAGATACTGATAAAAAAAACAGTGCTTTCAGCTAGCAAGCACTAGTAGAAAATTTAAATGAGCAAAAATAAGTTATTGTAATAAATTCCGATGATACTGTGTATTTTTTTGCTAATATCTTCATTCTTTTTCATTTTTCTTGAAAAGGACTGTCTTCTTTTGCCATTTTTTCATACAGTGGCTAGCATTCCTTACAAGTTTATTTGTCCTTCTCATTCATTACCTCATACGACTTAGCTTAGACTAGAAAATTTGCATGCAAGTTAGTTCTGCGCTTAATTTTATTTAAAAATTTTCATTTTTTGCTCACTGATTTTTATTTCAGTGATAAGTAATTAACAAGTTATTATTTTCATTTTTCTTTTAACATGAATTATTTCTTTCATTTCTGATTGCCATTCTAGTTTATTGTTGACATACATAATACACACTGAGATTGTTAAAGGAGGTTGATATGAGCAAAACAGGTTAATCATCAAATGGTTATCATTGATAATGGATTTCTCGTAGTTTTCAAATGACAGTGACCTTCAGAATAAAAGCTACTTCTCCCAGTATTACTCCAAATCTTCTTACACCTATTCTATCGCATATAAATCAGTCCTTATGACCTCAATTTCTAATTTTATTAAGAACGAGATTTATAGTTGCTAAAACAGGTGTGACCAGGAAATTCATTCATATCAACTTTCGGTTGATTTGTTTTTTGGTTTAAATTTTAGGTCAACACCAAATTTTTAGTTGTTTCTCTAAGTAATGGGATGGCTATATCTCATCCTCACCATTACTGTCGTCACCAGCACTACTATTTTTACCAGCAAAATTGCTCATCATTTAATAGGGATTATTTTCATTTCGATTTTGAAAAACATGCAAATAAATTTGCTTTTCATTATCGATTATCTCATTTGAACCAGATAAGACTAACTTAAATCAATAGTTACATATTATACTTCATCTTTTCACATATTTGTTACCAATCTACCAAATTTCTTATCTCTTATGATTCATATTATTATCTGTTTTGCTGACTTCAGCATTTGTTCAAATTACAGTTTCATATTTTATTGTTTAAATTATTGAAGTAGTTCAAAATGAACTGAAGAATCAAGCTTTATTACATTGAAATTAAAATTTTCAAACCTGAGAGATTAATGTAAAATTCATGATGTGATTGACAACTGAATAAATTTACATTTTGTTACGAGCATCTTACAATTTAATTTCGATTTTTGATATTTTATTTCTAAATCTGCATGATGCTTTTTTTCATGTATAATAATTGAACATTGAAAAGTTAATGAAATTTAGAAAGTTTTAGGAATTTTCGAAATTCGTTCCCTTTCTATTAAATTTACTTACTCAAGTTTGGAATTTGGTCTACGTTTCCTTGAAATGTAACTTTGTTTAATTCGATGAAAATTCGCTATGGCCAATAAAAGATGCAATTTCTGTGCTCATTTCAGTGGTTAAAACAAGCTTTTTAATTTGTATTTATCACCTGAAAGGATTATAAGTGTTGATGACTTTTTAATTCTGAAACTATTTCAATAAATCATGACAGTTTTATTTTCTATTCAACAACCTATCGCGTACTATTTCATTTTTTAATTTTGAACTTTATGAATTAAAAATGGGACATAGTAATATACATTGAATGTTACCTATCCATTGGTATCTCGACAATTCTCCACCAATCTTTCAAGTAATTGAAAAGAAAACTGAGCAAGTAATTAACAAAGATTCATTGTTTAAATTATTCACTGAATGCTTAGATCAATCTTTTAGCGTAAAGGATTTTATATTTTGCTTAATTATAAAATAGTTAATATTTTTAAGTGCTGAATTCAAACATTAAGTACTAAAATAAATATTTAGTATTTAAAGAATATTCAATGGTTAAATTCAAGCTCACTGAATCCCATAATCGGAATAATAATATGAATTTTCGTTTTCTAAGATCAAATATATGCGAAAAGATCAAATATATGCAATCATAACATATTTAAATTGGAATCTATAGTTTATCATCAAAACTTCCTATGCATTACACATTTAAAAATGTCAAATTTGTTTGTTGTTCACACAAAAATAGTTTAGATGCAGAAAACTGAAATCAACCTCAACCATTCATATATTTTCACAAAATGCAAATTTGCAGTATTAATGGTAATGTGAAGATTAAAAGCTTGAGTAGATTAAAAACTAAAAGCTTGTGATTTGAGGTAAAATTATGAGACCGGACGATTGAAAATAATATTGTTCTACCTTCCTTCTCTTCCTTTTTGTGCTGAATAATGTTGATGATGCAATTTTTTATTTATTTGGTGCAGTTTGTTTTTATGACTTAATATGGACAAAGTCAAAATGCTTGATACTTTCCGTATGCAACTTCACGTGGAAGTAGAGGGTAATATTCGTCGGACTGACGTCGTACCTCAAGATGTAATATTTGGTCTTCTGGGCATCCCTCACACTGCAATTTTGAACAAAGCAAGTAAATATGTCACAAAAGCTTTTATTATAATTAAGACTCAGTGTGGACTTCTGTATTTCAGATGCAAAATTTTAATCACGCCCAACAACTAGTGTTGAATTGCTTCATTTTTTATTATTTTTCAGCAACTTTTTGGAAATAAACTTTTTACTAAATTTATAATTATTGGTCATTATTTAGTTGAATGAAACATGAAAAAAAGTGGAACTGCAAAGTTTGAAATTTACCTGAACAAAGTCATTCCAAATAAGCAAGCAAAGCATAAAGGATGCAGCGAGAAATATATTCAAAAGCTGAAATATCAAAAAAATTACAAAGGGATTGTAGTGGTATAAAAACGATTGTTCTTTCCACTGAACTAAGATATTGTCTTTTAAAAATTATGCTAAACTTTGCAAAACAAAATCAGAAATTAAAATGAAGACTTACAGCTATCAAAATGTACACTGTTGATGGCTGATATAAATATTTGCTTCCTTCCGGTAAATATGCGATGCAATAGGTTGATAACGGAACGCAAATAGCAGTAAGAATTGTCATCAACAAATTGTAGAACTGAACCTGAAAAAAAAACGAATTCAAACGAAGTTTGAAAATTTTCTAACGTTTTAATTCTATAATCATTTTCAGCAGCTGTTATTCTTGTTTGAAAAGATAGTATGAAAAATATCTAAGAGAACGTTAGAATGCTTTCAGAAAATATAATTAATCGTATTTTCATATGTATAATATGGAGCTGTAATGATGAGTGGAAAGATCTAGAAGCAACAGATAAACAAAAAACTTTCTCATTTATTTTGACATGAAAATTAATTTTTATTTGAAATATGTTCTAAAAAGCACTACATACTGGAATTATTACTTCGCTTAAATCAAAGCTGTAGCTTGCAATCCTGAAGGCCTTATAAGAAGAAAAGGATGTAATAGGTCAAGAAAGAGAAATTAATCCAGTTTTTTTCCCAATTAACTAATAATGCACAGTGGAGACAGTAAAGATAATTTATCATTCAAAAAAGTAAAAATAGTAAAATGCAGTCATATTCAGTATTATAAAACAGAAAGCAACTCATATTTGTTGTAAAAAAGGTTGAAAATTATGTGTTGCATCAGTCTGCTGGTTAGTTGAATTCGTAACTCTGAGATCAAAATGTTACATGTTCTAGTTGGGATTTGATTAATCATTCAAAAATGCAATTATATTTGTTTTAGTCATTAGATTCTGTACCGATAATATGTGAACTACCGTCGTATCAACGATGCTACTACCATTTTTGTTTGTGTCATGTATTTCTTCCAGAATAATAGAATATTGTAACAATAGGAAAAATGAAGACACTAAATAACTACTTGAGATTTCTTTTATCATGTAATAATGCAAGCTACCTTACAAAAATATCCATCTATCTTATTTGATGTGGTGAATCTTAAACTTGCCATATTTTTGGCTGCATGAATTGCAAAAATTTGCGGAAAATAATAATATAATTGTATAATTATGCTGTTTGTTATAGTTACCACAGCAATAATCCATAATAAAGTGCTTGGTGGTGTTGGATGAGATTCAGCTAAGGTAAATATTATGAGTATAGCCAGCACCTAAAAGAATTACTTTACTTAATGGCATTAGATAATGAATGCTTAATTATTTTCAGTCACGGCATGTGGAGTGAGTGACTTAAAATGTAAAAAAGACAAGATTAAACAGAAAATAAATGAAAATCAACAGTTACATGAACTAGAGAAAATTTCAGATACCAGAAATTAAAGCATCTTTCTCGCCTTTTCTGAAGACTTTTTGCTTGTAAGCATGATATTGAAGAAAATATGAATTATCAGTAGACATAAAATATTTGGAAAATAAATACTCCAAGTAATTCTGAATGCCTTAAGTAAAAATAATTTTAAAAACTGCACTGGCGCTTTGATTTGAGTTCACGTAACTGCATTTCAATTTAATTGTTTAAAAAAAAAATTACAAGTAAAAGTTAAAACACACCAACTGAAATACTCTGGAATAAGTGATCACTTTCAACGAGTAATGATTACTCCTTGTTAAGACAAAAGATGCGTAACTGGAAGCCATGAAGAACGCTCACTTTTCTTTATATCATCATTTCTTGTCACTCTCAGAACTTTCCCCTTTTGAATTCAGCTGCATGCCATTAGTATTCTGTTGATCAATTTGCTCCCACTATTTCTAAAAAAAGCAACAAACGTAATGAAGAAATACAAAAATGAAAAAATTAAAGCACTGCTGTTTGCTTTCATCTTACACTTTTACCTTATAAAAAAGGCATTTTTCTAATCGTATTTTCAAACTGACGGCTGTAAAGAAGTTTTTCCAGTAGAATTTGCTACAGTTATAATGTAAGAGTGACGTTCTTGAACCTTCTCGACTGTGTCTTTACGGTACTTTTAAATCCTAGCAGACAGCCAATCCTTAGTCTGGAAAAGTTGAAAACGTCTTTCCTGCTTTTCATTTTGATCAGAAAACATCAAAAATTAGCAAAAATCTATCATTTCTTTAATTTTTTTGTATTTTCATTTGCATGGCAAGTAATAAACAAGATGACCTCAACTAGGTTTGACATGCTTATTTATTTACTGATCTTTTCCTAACATAAACTTAAGCAAATTTTTCGAACAGAGTTTTGTAAGCATAAAACTTCACTCTATGTTTACACGTTATCAGTATCCAATTAAATCAAATAATCTTGCACATTTTATATTTAGATCCCCTGATTGCGAGCAAGTTTGCTGACACTTTTTACTTGTCCAAGTAATCATTTTCAGTTCCCATGTTAAATAATCTAGATATAACTGATTTTTATTGCTCTAAACCAGGCTATTTATGCAAACGCACAACTATTATTCCGAAACATTAATTATATTCTGTCAGAAAAACAATAAAGGTCATCAAAACAAATGAATAAAAAGTTTCGATAAGATAAAAATGAAAAGGCACAAACGTCAGTGAAAACTCTGCTACCATATAATTTATTCTTATCATCAGTACGAGAATGATGAAGTCTTATCAACACACATCGTTTTATCAAATGGCTTCAACCAAAGAAATGCATAAAAACACTTAATTATCATTCTTCATTTTAATATAAAATTATCAGTTGTCAATTTACATCAGTTTTCTAATCCACATGATTAATACCGTTGTCATTCAATTCCAAAGTAATTTAAATTAAATAAATTGTTACTTAATATTCATAGTTCTTATTTGGAAATAGCATCATTTAAATTTTCTAGCAGACAAGTGATGGTGCTTACTTATCTTTTGTGCTTCACTCAATTTGGCTGCAGTTGATTATTCAGCCATAGTATTTATATTTTTTCAAATTTAAAACCCTGACATTCTCCAAAACGATACAATATTTGGTTACTTATTCTTTCATTTGCCATTTCTGGTCATTTTTGATGTGTGGAACCATCCAGACATAGTGATGATCCTATTGTCACGCTATTAGATTATTTATACAAGGAAAAGCACATACTCTTTTTTTTCCTTCATCAATTAATATTTGTCTTAACACAAACTTAATGCTGGAAGCAAGAATATGGACAAACAAGTTTGTATATATATACTGATATACTATACTGATATTTCTGATATTAATTTTTTTCTTCACTTATATATACTTATATATATATACATATATATAAGTGAAGAAAAAAATCTATGAGCAAGAATAGTTTTAATGCACGTAATTATGCATGACTTAAACGTGAGAAGAATCAATAAATATTGATCATAATATATTTGAGTAATATTTTTAAAAGCAACATAAAATAAGTGGACATTTTTGATAAACCATTTGGATAATTCTATCACAGATTACTTCGAAACCAAGAAGACTGTATTATAAAAGTTAAAGCAGTTGTTTGAATGCAAAAAGTGTTTGGCAAATACTTTTCGTGTTCAATCACATATTTTACTCTTTACATTGCTAATTTTATCTCACTGAAGCAGAGAAATAATCAGTTAAGAAAATTTCTCGAACCTATTTCAGTTAACTGGTAAATCACTTCTTAATACTGCCATTTCAAGCATTTAATAATATCATTAATTTAGGTGCTTTTTGAATATTTTTTTAAAGCAACAAAATGTCGAACTTTCAAGTTTGCAATTTTTCATATAATAAAAGTGTTAACAAAACTTTGAATTTCTATGCCACTTTTATAAGCTTTTAAAATTACTTCCTGCAATAAATACACGAAAAAAATTTTGTAAATTAATTGAAAGTACAGTCATATAGATTGGTTTAAAAAAAATTTACCATATATATTTCAAATGCTTGCAAAAAGTTGATTTAATAATGATTTTATTAATAAACATAAATTGTGCCAAAAAAGTTTTTGTTAAGTCTTTCTATGACGATAAAGACGTGTATTCAAAAGCATCAGTCCATACAAATTCTATGTAAAGCGAAAAAACTGAAATCGTTAAGCATTTTAATAAAAGTGCAAAAACTCTAGAATTCTTCCATAACTTCTTTAAAAATTCTGCTAGAAAAATTAAAAACAAGAAAGTCTGAAACTTTCTTTTGATACTGGGAATATTTGTTGATTTTACGATTTTGTATATTTATAAACATTAGTTCTATCTTTCGGCAAAGAGGCAATGGAAATAGCTTTTAAAATACAATCTAGAAATGTTATAATGCATCATTACTGTTGTAAATACTTGTTCAAATAATGGTGAAAAACTATTCATTATCATAATTACTACCACAATAATATTTTATTATAATAAATTAAAGATATAAAATGCATTGATTTCAGCAAATTTATTGGTGGAGATCGTCATAATCAATTGCATTCTTTGGTTGACAAATCTGAAGTATGCAAAGTTATCATCATTTTCAATCTACTTCGGTTTTCAAAAACAATATACAAAGGTATGTTGCAAAATTGTGACAAAAATGTATAGAGGATATTATCTTTATAAAGTTAATAGTATGAATTAAAAAATGGTAATAGCCGTTTTCTTGACGCTCTTTCCTCTGTCAAATTTGCAGAATATAAATCGAACTTTTAGAAGTTTAAAGCAAGCAGACCTAAGTTCAAATTTAAATTTATTTAATAACTGTTACAAATTTATGTAATATCTCCTATAGGAGGAGGTATTATAAATTTTAATTTCATCCTTTGCAAATTTATTTCGATCAGGTAAATGCCAATTGAGGTCTCTAAATTTAGGCTGACCCTTGATGTTTTGATTATTATAATAAAACAGAATGCAAAATTCAAGAGTAATATAAACATAATAGGAAATTGTTAATAAATAGTTCTTATTTAACTACGAGCATTTAATATCATCAAAAAGCAAGTTAAAAAAATGCTTATCAAGTTTAGCAATCATTCAAGAATTTTCAAAAAATGATGCAGTAGAATACTAGTTCATTATTAATCATAATTAATAGCTTGAATGAGATTGACCGATCAATAAATCGATTATGATATTGATGAAATAGATCAATTCTCAACCTCTTAACTTTTATTTATATTATTACATTAAAATTCATTCGTAATGTTTTTGATTTTATGATTTTACATCAGAAATTTTGAGTGAAGTAATAGAATGGCTTATTTACTTTATTTACTTAAATAAAGTAAGCCACTCGGTTGACAAGTTTTACTTACTTTTTTGGTTGTTAATTTTTCAAAATTTTTTGAATGCTAACTTCGATGATATTGTTTGGGTAACATAAAATCATCAAAACATTATATGCTGTCCTTGACCACTATTCAACCTCACAAACAATTTACATCTTTTCTTGATTTCTCCATTTGTAACTTCAAAATTACTGCCTATTTGTAATCGGTAGATTTGAATAATTTGCTTGTAAAAAGTTATTTTCAGCTATAAGTGAAATTTTCAATCACAATTTACTTGATTGCTACCAATTTTAAATACATTTAAGATTATCTTTCTCTGATACTTTCAGTTAGTGTTTAGCATCTTGTATCCAATAAGCGGTCATTTATTTTGTTAAAATTGATTGTCACTTCATTTTAGAAAAATATTTCAAAAATGAATCTGTACAAAAACTGAAATTTTTGACATTTAATACAATTTTGTTTACAGTTCGTCCTAAAACTAATTTTCACAATTCCTAATTTTGTTCTGCCTTATAGAATCATAAAAATGCAATATAAAGTAATTGTTCAATTTATGCAAAAATTTTAATTTCAAACAGTGCTAAATGTGATGAATTTTAGTGAGCATTAAGTGAAAAAATGATTGAGTTATTACCGAAATAACAAATGATAGGCTTTTTCAAGAGCTCTAATTTTTACCATTCATTAATTGTTTATTTTTAGTTCACCAACTGCAAATGATTACTTTTTATGATCATAGTGATCAGCATTTTAATCAACAAGCGATTGATCATCTGATAGCTCAAGTAATACTTCATATATTTCTTAATCTTTAGAATCAGCTCAAGTATTTGAAAAATCTCAAAGTCATTTTGACAAAACAAAATCGTACAGTTTTTAAAGAGAAAAAATTTCAATAATATAATGAATGAGCATTATTTTTAGCATTCTGTGAGTTTCCCAGGTATTTTTTTGAATAAAGAAAAAAATCACAATATTTCTTGTAGTTAAAAAACAATGACGCCCAAAACTTCAATGATTTTCTAAAGCTTTTTTCACCGATAAAGCGAATTATTCAAGCAATTCCCATTACACTGCCTTTAATTGATGTTATTGTTACTGAAGGATTGAAGGTGAAACATTTCATTTTAATCTTCTCAACATTTTATACGCAGGATAAAAACTCATTTATTAAATGATTTATTGCTTTCTTTATTTATAACAGTAATAATACTGCAACAATTTTTGTGTTACTGGAATTCAGCAGCGATAATAATTGAAAAAATTATAACTAGGTGATAATTACAATTAAATTATGATTACTATTACAATTATCATAACTATCAGAAACGTGATTATAATTGTTATTAATATTATTGTATAATGTTAGTATATCAGTTTCATAAAAGCACCAAAAACAAAGCTGCTTTACATTACGACGAAATATTTAATCATCTGCTATGGTGGATC